CTTTCCAATTTATTATATTTCTGTTATTATGTATCTCTGAACTATTTCTCTGAGAAAATGGTACTGATAAGGGAGCATACGTACGATTTTCATATACAGGTTGAGCTTTCAAAATTAGCAATGGAAACTTTGGAATTCGGGATCAACGAAAATGATGAAGAATATGGGTTTTTAATGAACAACAGTAGCCTAAGAAGAGCCTTGTCAGCGGACCTTACTGCGTCTGATTCCATTCTCCTTGACATAACAAACAGAGAAGACAACCAAATGAGCGCTTGCTTGAGCGCTGATGTTCTAGAATTACAGACATTATTGACTAACTGGAAGCTTGATCGTTTGCTGAATCATTTAGTAGCTATGTCAAGTCTCAAAATTATGTAATTTACAATCTAAATAGTGAACTAATTTGCATGATCCAAATAAATAATTCTGTACCTATATATCGATGGTGTTTTGTCAAAACATCGTAAGCGCCAAATGTTACTTTTTACAGGAAACGACTTTTTCTGATAGCAACTGTATTTCATGTCGTATCGCAATGAAATTTTATACGGCGTTTTTTTTTATCATTAAAACTCGTTTACAATGGTTATTTTAAAAAAAAATTTGATTTTTTAAGCAATTTTGGTTCTTACGATGTTTTGCCAAGAAAATATTAAAATTGTGTTTTAAATCTTAGCCGCTTACGATACACATACGATGTTCTGCTCGTTTCTGGATGTGAATTTCTAAATAATTATAGGCTCAGCTATTTGTTTCTAAGAAGTAATGAAATTATAAACAAATAGGTCAATTGTTTATAAATGGAAGTAAATAAAAACAACAAAATAAACAACATAATTCTAGGAGCTCTGCTTGGACAAATCTCAGTCTCAACTTTTTCATCCTCTTCATCCGTTTCTGCCAATGTATCTTCAACCTCTATCGTACCCTTAAAATTTTCGTATTCTTTGTGGTAGCGTTCTGGAATCACGCGCTTGGCACATAGGTCCATTAAATTCTTTAACTTCAAGGCAGAAATTGGGAGCGGTGATGGATATAAATTTCCTATTTTCGGCATTTCTAGGAGACTGCTGGCTGACCTTTTAGCTATAAACAAAAGCATAAGCATTTATTATAAAACATCATAATTTATACTAACATTTACGTGGTTGACGAAGTTCTACAGTTTGTTGTCCGTCGCAGTCCAAAAAAGAATATTGAATTTTAATGACATCTTCACCTTTTTTGAAAGAAGCAATTCTTAGCTGACTCAGTAAAATTTTTTCTCCTTCTTTTGTTTTATTAATTTTGTTTGGTAATACATTTTTAGCCGCTTCTTTCCAAGACATGAAATCGGTATGCTTCATATTAATTACCTCAAAAGGTGTATGATTAACCCTCGCATTAGCGATTAAAGTATGCCATTCCGATGGCGCCCAAACGGTGCGTTTGTTAATGAAGCGTTCTATTGTTGCATGGACCGAGTCTACGGGCATGTACGTATGTCCCGGAAGAAGAAACACTATTTTTATATGATGGACGTTCTTGGAACTTTTTAAAAATTGATGCAACATACTCAACATGGCCCTGTTTCTATTCTGCCCGGAGCAGCTATCGCAGTAAAGCACAACGAATTTGACAAAAACACGCTGGTCAACGTCTTGCAAATATTTATTTATAATTGTGCAGATCTCATCGCAGCCACGATTACCGTCGGTTTCACCCCACAAATAGCAAAACGTGCGCCTTGTTCCACTTTCATATACTGTTTCATTGTATACCGCGTATTTCCGTGAGTAATATAACAGCATATTATCACCATGAGGAGTATTTAAAACCTTTTGCAGGTCAAAACTTGCACATACAAAAGTTTTATCTTCCTTTGCAATTTTTTGATCGGACAAAAATAGTTTTTTACTTTCTTCTTTGTGTTTTAAATGAATTTCGTAACGTTTTTCATCTTCTGCTGAAAATGTAAACTGTTGACCCTTTCTGGATTCGCATGTAGAGCATTTATCTTTTTTAGGAAGATGAAATCCTATATTAAAATCGTTGGAGAAAATCTCTCGAAACACCTTTAGAGATATTTTGGTCTTTATTTTGAGGTATTCTAAGGTATCCTTTTTAAAAATTCTGTATAAAAAAGATACATTCCTCAACTCTGTAGGTAGATATTTCTTTACGGTGCTACCTCTACAGTAGTGTGATGGTACTGCAGGTAATTTTTTAATAAATTCATGAACCAGCTGTTTATCCTGTAATGACGTTTTATTGTGAGGTTCGTGCTTGCCTCGTTTATCCGTTTTAGCACATGTAAAATTTACCGCATTGTTTTTCGTATACCTCAACGTCATTTGTGATATGCATAGAGTTTTCAACAAGAATTGTTGGCAAACTTCTGTTTTTTCTTCATTCCATGGTATGACATACTTAAAGGTTCTGACTCTTCTGCTGTTTTCGACATCACGTCTACGTCTTCTCTTTATATTCTTTTCTTCGATGCACAGCAAAATCCAATCTCGCTGCTTTTGAAGATTTCCTAAACCCCAATAAAATTCAAAAATTTCATGGCGTTGTTGTTCAGTGAATTTTTTTGCGCAAGAGTTTTGACATTTTTTGGTCTTACAAGGGTTGTCTTGCACAGACTTCCCAGCGCCCAAAAGTTTTTGAATCCTTCGTGTGTGCCTTTTATTGGGTGACTTAGCTTTTCTCAAACCGGATTCTCCAACAATCTCTGTTAATAATTCATCCATCGGTTCTTCTACATCAGAATCAGTAGCATATTGGTTATTTACTTCATTAAAGGACAAGTCAGAATCAAATCGTTTAAATTTGGATTTTATTTTTGAAGTTTTTTGTTCAGGTTCCGATTCTGAGCTAGACGAATAATCTACCAGGCGTGTTAAATAGGTATTAGTACTATCGATAGATTCTTCCAATATTCCTGTTTCTATCTGACGTTCATTGTGCTCATCTACCTCAGACCATAAAGGGGCATTTACTAAGTTATTATCGACAAATAATTGCCCTAAATGCTGAGTGGCTATATCATCGTTTTCCGCAATAATAATTGGAATATTGTCTATGTCAAAAGCATCTGAACTGGTCATAAACATGTTTTCATAATCGACGTTCTCCCCATTCATAGAGGGGATTTGATCTAATTGATCTAAATCTCCGCTGCGTTCAGTATTTAATGCTAACTGTACCAAATGTTTACTTCGTAACGAGGCCATTTCCTACACCAAACATTATTGTCATTTATAAAATAGCAACGTATTACTTATAAATAATGATTAAAGTTTCTAATTTCTACATTACATAAAATTGCAAAACTCACCCAAGTCTACGCTTAAAAATGAATAAGTAGTCACTAGCCACAAATCAAACAGCACCATTACCTGATCAACAAACAGCCATAATGACGCAAGCGCCCGACACGGTTAGGAATTTCTATCGTAAGCGCCACGTTCTCCTAATTTTCGTAACAGTTACGATGTTCTGCCGGTAAAAGGTCCTCGCTTACGATGTTTTGACAGACTTTGTTTATAAAATTTGGCGCTTACGATAATTTTCTTTTTTAAATTGAAAGAAAACGGTTAATTATTTACTTATGATGTTTTGCAGGGACCTTCCGCTTATCGTAAGCGACAGTTTACACCAAAAAAACGTAAAATTGTCAAATATGTCGCTTACGATGTTCTGCCAAAAACCCATCGATATAAGCATTGATAAGTATTTTGACATGTTTTTTTTTCAGATCAGAAGGTTTTCGTGCCTCAGCTCAAAATGATGGGGAGACACCATGTGCGGGAGTTGCTCGAAAAATATGACGTTGGAACGCGAATTGAATTCGAGCACTATCTCTCACTCTGGAGACAATCAATTGGTATCCCTCTAAATTCCTATGAAACTGGCCCCACTGGAAGTGGTATGACAAGGCAGCTCGCAAGCACATCCATCTGGGTGGACAATCTTGAACCATCAGACATAAGGTCACCGTGTTCAATCCCATCATTCAACCGATGCGGGATCAGGTGCCAAAGTGCTATTGGCAACTATTCTGAAAGACTCCCCGAAAGCAGCGCTGTTGATGGAATACTGGGAAAAAAATTCGAAATTTGAAAACGAACAGAGAGGAGCCCTGATCAGTTTAATAGCAAGATACTTCGAGGATAATCGCATCCCCATGACAATGGCAGCAAGCTATCAATTGGAACGAGAGATAGTCGAGAGATTTCCGACTGAGAAGCTGGTAAGTTGGGCTTAATTAATTCAGTTCAAAATATTGACTCCAACTTAACAAATTCTAGGAGTTCTACCGCACTAACAAGAGAGGAAACCTCTACAATAAATGGAGGACCAGCAACGGTAGATTCAATAAAGCTGTTTTGAAAAAAACGGAAAAAACGGATACAAGCAGGACTGATATTGCTCTTGGTAAGTGAATAAATGTTTTGTATATATTATATATATTTCAATATATTAGTTTATATGCTTATCAATTTACGTTATTATTTGTTTCAGATTCAGAAAAGGACGCGGAGGATATAATTGTTATAGTATATCTGTATGTTATAAAACGTGGCAACTATGTCTTTCGTAAAGGTTGCCAAGACGAAGCCGGTACGCTTGACACGACAGCTGCTCGATGGCCGGTGACATGACAATTGTCTAATAAAGATCTGTTCCGCTACCTGTGTGTTAATATATTAATCCAAGCAATCACCCAACATAATATGGTGTCAGAAGTTGTCGTCTAAAATTAATCTGTCAGTAAATAAAGAATCAAGCCCGTCATGCCAGACAATGAAGTAAATCCGTCAAATTCAAATGCTAACCAATCTGTTGTAGAAGCACGTGTAAGTAGAGCAGCACCTATGGCATCTTGTTCGCTTCAGCCTATGAATCTGCGTGCACCTGATTTATAAGCCTGGAAAACTTGGAAAACCCAATTCCTAATTTATCTGCGAGCTACAGGTCTTGACAAAGAAAGTGATGCAAGAAAAGTCGCCTTAATGCTTCACTACCTGGGCCCCGATTGCTTGAAAATCTACAATTCTTTTAACGAAAACTTGGATTCTGTGAAATACGACGAGCTAGAAACGAGGTTTGATGCACATTTTACACCTACCGCTAATATTTCATTTGAGAGGCATATATTTATAACACGAAAGCAAGGTAGCAATGAATCCCTTGAGGATTATGTCACAGCATTAACAAATCTTAGCCTGTCCTGCGACTTGGGAGCACTACGTGAAAGCTTGATTAAAGACATTTTTACCTGTGGTTTAAACGAATCCAATCACTACATCAAGGAAAAATTAATTGGAGCAGGTCCAATCGAATTAAATAAAGCAGTCGAACTAGCGAAGACCGCATCCCTTACAAAAGCGCAGATGTCTCAGTTAAGTTCAGCAGCATCGTTCGTAGGTGCAATAAATAATCAATTTCAAAGAAGAAAGCGTGTCAATCAAAGCCACACGAAGAGAAGAAAATCTGTCAGTCCGAGTACATCGCCTAAGAATAATTATGGATCGCCGTCAAGCAACGATAGTGCATGTACCCGCTGTGGTCAACATCATCTATATAGATGCCCTGCAGCAACTCAAATTTGCAATTACTGCCACAGAAGAGGACATTTCGTGCAATGCTGTTTTAAGAAAAAATCAAGAACTGTTCATCAGCTGTCTACAACCGAAGATTTATTTTTAGGGATGGTCGAGTGTGAAAATGTTCCCAGTTCTGATGTCAAATCCTTATCATGGGAATCTGCCGTACACATTAACAACAAAGAAGTCATTTGCCAATTGGACACCGGAGCTCAAACGAACATAATCAGTTTGTCTAAGTTCACAACTTTGGGCTTACCGAACTCAAATATCACACCTTGTTCGTCAAGGGTGAGTACGTTTACAGGACATAATATTGATGTAATTGGTTCAGTTAATTTGACTTGTAAAGTAGGGTTAAGGAAGTCGCACGAATTATTTCATGTTGCAAATTTCAATTGTGTTACAATCTTAGGATTAAGAGCTTGTATTAATTTGAAATTAGTGAAAAGACTTCACAACGTGCAATTCGATTCTGAAAGTAATCAGACGAGTGAAGTTCAGTCTGAAAAACACAATGTCTTGGAAACTTATAAGGACGTATTTGAAGGTTTAGGTAAAATTGATATGAAATGTCACTTTGTAGTCGATAAAAATATTAAGCCTGTCATTGAACCACTGCGAAAAATTCCTTTTATGTTACATAAGGATTTGGAAAAAGAACTTAAACGTATGGTTGACTTAGGGGTTATAATAAGAATATCTGAGCCCACTGCATGGGTAAATAGTATAGTTATAACCACTAAGAAAAATGGTAATTTAAGAATCTGTCTGGATCCTAGAAATCTGAACAAAGCAATTAAACGGTCTCATTATCCATTTCCGAATATAGATTCGGTAACAAGTAAACTTGCGAATGCATGTTTTTTCTCAACTCTCGATGCAAATTCAGGTTTCTGGACTATACCTTTAGATGACCAATCATCTAAACTGTGTACTTTTATAACTCCTTTTGGACGTTTTCGTTTCCTGAGGTTACCATTTGGTATTAACTCTGCACCAGAAATATTCCATGCTACAATGGTGGATCTGTTTGCACAAATTAAAAATGTAATTATTTATTTTGATGATCTGCTTATATTTGGAAGTACAAAAAAGGAACATGATTCTGTTTTAAAAACGGTCCTTGATAGGGCTCGTTCAGTGAATATGCGTTTTAATCCAAATAAATCGCATTTGTGTAAAACCTCTGTAACCTACATGGGTCACGTATTTTCAAGTCGTGGCATTCATCCAGATCCTTTAAAAATTAAGGCAATTGTTAAAATGCCAGAACCCAAAAATAAGCAAGATTTACAAAGGTTTATGGGTATGTTAACTTATTTGTCGTCATTTATCATAAATTTTTCTGATCATACGAAAGTGTTGAGGTTATTAATTAAAAAAGACAACCCTTGGCATTGGGATGAAATTCATAGAACAGAATTTAACAAATTAAAAACCCTTATCACTAAAGCACCAGTATTAACGTACTTTGATACAAACAAGAAACTTACGCTATCATGTGATTCATCTCAATATGCAGTTGGAGCTGTCATATCGCATGATATTAACCCAATTGCTTTTGCATCTGCTTCATTAACAGACTGTCAGCAAAATTATGCACAAATTGAGCGTGAACTTCTTGCAATTGTATATGGATGTATAAAATTCCATCAGTACATATATGGACAAAAAGTGCTAGTGCACACTGATCATAAACCATTAATTCCCCTTTTTATAAAGCCCTTATATAAGGTCCCACAGCGTCTTCAAAGATATGCTTAAAATTCAAGCCTATGATCTTGAAGTTCAGTATGTGCCAGGAAATAAAATGTTTGTATCTGATACCTTATCTAGGGCTCCATTGTCAGATAAACTGCTGGAAATATCAGATGAATTTGATAAGGATCTTAATTTACATGTAAATTTACTAGTGTGCAATCTTGCAGTTTCTTCTGAACAGTTAAACAAAATTCGAGAACAGACGAACAATGATCAGACTCTGTTAACGTTAAGTAAATATTATCAAGATGGTTGGCCGTCAAATAGAAATAATATTCCCTTAGAAGTGCGACCATTTTTAAAATTTTCTGAATTTATTCATGTTGCGGATGGTATCGTTTTTAAAGGTGATTGTATCGTAATACCATCATCACTACGCAAGGAAATGCTGGCAATAATCCATGAAGGACATTTTGGTATTGATCGATGTATTAAGTTCGCAAAAAACTCATTATTTTGGCCGAACATGAGTAGCGATATCAAAAATATCGTGTCTACATGCATTACGTGTCAGCAATTCAGCAGAAATAACAGTCAACTTCCTTTAATGCCACATGAAATAAAATTAGTACCATGGTATAAGATTGGGGTAGATTTTATGGATGTATTGGATAAGAAATATCTTGTTTGCATTGACTATTTCTCGAAGTACATAGAAATAGTAGTAATGCAAAGAGGATGTACAGCTTTACTAGTTATAATAGAACTAAAATCAATTTTTGCAAGGCATGGAATACCTGTCACATTAATCTCAGACAATGGTCCTCCATTTGGTTCCAATGAATTTGCTAACTTTGTTAAAACTTGGCATATAAATCACGTGACAGCTAGTCCACACCATGCTCAATCAAATGGTCAAGTAGAAAGGAGTATAGGCACTTTGAAAAATATGATTATTAAAGCATTTGAGTGCAATGAAGATCCATATTTGGCTCTTCTACAATATCGTACAACTCCTAACGAAAGTTTGAACTCCCCATCACAATTGTTAATGAGTCGCTTACTCAGAACGCGACTACCCATTAAAGAATCTCTTTTGCAATCACAATTAACAGATTTGAATAAGCAAAAACAATTTATTGAAAGAATGAATTTTAAAAAATCTCATTATTTCAATAAATCATGTAAAACTCTTAATGATCTCGTAGTGGGACAAAAAGTGTTATTCAAAAAGGCACTTGCAGATAAAAAATGGCACATAGGTACAATTGTAAGTGTAGGACCTTTACCACGAACTTATCAAGTACAAAATGCAGAAGGCACATTATACCGCAGAAACCGAATGTTCTTTAAACCCTTAAAAACAATGGAAACTGAAATTACTGATGTTAATAATGATAATGAAGGATTATTAACTAACAGTAATTCAGACAATTCATTACTAATTGTTCCAAACCTAATTAGGTCAGAAACGGTGAATGATTCTGAAATACAGGTGAATGATTCTGAAAGGCACACACGATCAGGTCGTTTAATTAAGACCCCAAGTAGACTAAACTTGTAGTAATGTTTGTAATTATATGTAATGTTTGTTATTTTAAGTATACTTTGTATTATTAAGGAAAGGGAGATGTTATAGTATATCTGTATGTTATAAAACGTGGCAACTATGTCTTTCGTAAAGGTTGCCAAGACGAAGCCGGTACGCTTGACACGACAGCTGCTCGATGGCCGGTGACATGACAATTGTCTAATAAAGATCTGTTCCGCTACCTGTGTGTTAATATATTAATCCAAGCAATCACCCAACATAATAATAATAAGGTCACTGCGCAATGACGATCTATCTGCCGAAGAGCTCGATCGGTTTTGGAAGGCGTGCGGGAATTATCGATTGAATCAAATCAGAACAGCCAATTCAACAGCAGAAATTTTGAAGAAGTGGCCGCAATATAAAACTCCCTCCGGATATAGATTTGTACGTGGAATCATTCAGATTTTAAATAATATTAACAATAAAGTAATTTACTTTTGCAGATTGAATTTGATTTCGTCATTCTCAATAGAGATAGTAAAGACCCTTCTTCAATTTGGGAGGCCGGTGCGAATAAGATAATACAATTCCTCGCAAATAGTATCAAAGACAAAGAGTTGAAAACTTTGATAAAAAGTCTGGACGAAGACATGGAAGAGCGTAAGTAGAAATTAACTTATAATGCAGCTTCTCGTGTCCTCAAATCGACTATCGAAAATATCAATTGATGATTGCGTAGATAATATTACCTACGATTACATAGTATACCTTAAGTATTACTTTGTCACACTAACTTTCATTTTCTACCAATAGATAGTCGGAACGCCACAATTCTGTGGCTTCTTCATGGGTTCTTTGTGCCCAGCAATCGAGGAACACAAACCGATATAAACGGCAAGAAAAAAATTACAAAATACACTATTCGAGACTCTCAGCAGTATTTCCTCTACCTGGGAAAATCTGCCCAACAAGTAGAGCAATGGATAGAACACAGGAAGTCCAAAGGTACAGCCATACAGCCATTTTTATTCGCCATTGCAGAGAGTCTCAAAGAAATAGGAGAGGTTTTTGTTTATTTCGACGACGTGAAGTTCAAATTTTATAACATAATACGCGCAATGGACATCTGTTTCAAAATATTCCACGTATTCAATCTCGAATATCCGAATGAGTGCCACATGTTTTGGACATTCATCGAAACATATTTATATAATGTAAAATCAAACAAAAGTTATACTAAAGTTTATGAACTTAAAGACTTTTTGAAATCAGGCGAGAACTAGGTGCGTCTCATTTTGTATTTTGTAAGTATATTTTATTAATAAATGAGGCATAACCCATGTAGAAATGAATATTGTGTTTACAACGTGTTTATATCGTACCAATATTTGAATATTTGTCAATGAAATTCAATATTGGCACCATATCGTCTGAATATTTGTCATTAAATATTGTACAATTTATATTTACATAATACTGCATTGATATTGTGATTTCAATGAAAGTAAAAATCATGATATTGGATATTGTGCAAATATCGTTGTTACATCATTTTGAAGATATTGTAGATACAACATTTGGCCGACATTGAACCAACATTGTAATTTCAATATACGAAAAAATAATTATTTTGAATATTGTGCAAATATCGTTGTTACATTATTTAGAAGTTATTGTACTACATCATTTAGCCGATATTAAACAAATATTGTAATTTCAATAAACGAAAATATAATGATTTTGAATATTGTGCTAATATCGTTGTTATATCATTTAGAAGTTATTGTACTTACGATATTGAACAAATATTGTAATTTCAATAAACGGAAAAATAATTATTTTGAATATGGTGCAAATATCGTTGTTACATCATTTAGAAGATATTGTGCTTACAACATTTATCCGACATTGAACAAATACCGTGATGCCAATATAAGCAAAAATAAATATTTTGAATATTGTGCAAATATCGTTGTTAACACATTTAGAAGTTGTTGTACTTACATCATTTAGCCGATATTGAACAAATATTGTAATTTCAATAAACGAAAATATAATGATTTTGAATATTGTGCAAATATCGTTGTTACATCATTTAGAAGTTATTGTACTACATCCCATATAGCACAAACATATCCAATGGATATCATATGGAAGTAAAGTTTCCAGCAGTCGTAATATCCAGTGGATATCCTGATGGAAAACAATGTACATTCAATGGATATTCATTGGAGTTCCAGATGACACAAGTATGGATATCCATAGAATTGACTTTTTGGATATCCTATGAATATCATCTTTGTAATTCCATTGGACAAGTTTCATGATTTATTCTGTATGTACAATGGACATTCACTTCCGTACCGTGATGGATATTGAGTCACCACAACAAAATTAACGAAACTATTTTAACCAGAGAAGCCTTTAATAATAAACGTTTATTAATAATTACATATCATTCATGTTATTTTTCTTTAACTTGAATTCAGATCTTTCTTTTGATCTCCGCAACCATTTCATTACACACTCTTCCACTTCTTTAACAGAGGCATTTCCAAATTGCTTATTCATTTTTCTGGCGTCTGTAAAATCCAAAAATAAGTTTTTTTTAGTGTAAAATCTACCCCTTACCCAAGATTAGTGCACAAAGGCGTAATTTTGAAAAATTTTGTTTGTTACGCAGTCCATAATAGGTATAATTTGTTGCGATTTTGTCAGTCATGAAACTAGATACAATTCGCTTCGCAAATTCATATAAATTATTGCCTCCTACATTCGACATTTCATGCACCTGCAATTATATATTATGTAGAACACCATTAAGTAGTAATAAAACTTTTTACTGCTGCTTTGAAGTTGCTCTCCTCGCTTAAGTAATCTTCCAGTGCCACCAAATCATTCGGATCATTGGCTGGCAATGTCAATTGGGAGAAAATGGAATTCGTAGTAACTTCAGTTGTTGAATTGTTTTTGTTTTTAATACTATGCAATTCTTCTACTACATCCATAATCATCCCTTTAATGAGGCGTTGTTGCCGTAATATTTCTTTCTGCATTTTCAATCCAGCTAAAAAGATAAGAATTAGGTATTGTCACATTTCAATATGAAGAAATAGGAACCTTCAGCATCGTTTCCCCGTTGCCTGTGCCTTGGACACAAACTGCATTCTTCACAGTAGTTTACATCAGAGACACCTAAAAAATTGTATTTTATACTCTATTTGGTGGATACATTTCCTTGTTAATTACCTGCACCCAACGTATTTCCATTTTTATTTTGATCTTTAGGTGGACGCTGAGGTGTATCTACAATTTATCAATTTTACATCCTATAAATTTGAAATAATACCTACCTATGTTAGTAATTGGTCTAGGGGCATCCACTTCCTCAACTTCGTCATTTACATGATTGCATACATTTGTATCAGAACCTACAACCAAATTATTTTCACAATGCTATAAATACACATAATTCATATTCGCAAAACAAGAGGAAGAAAACTACGAAAAAAGATAAGTTTACCATTTTTCCGAGCATTTTTCTTAGGTGGCATCGGCAAGCAACTGACCCGAGAATTGACTACTCTCTCATCACTGTCATCATCCGACGAAGACAGGACTCTTTTCATTACATGTTTTCTTTTTTTCTTGGAAGTAGTGTCGGAGTCGGAGGCGAGGTTTTCGATATTATTGTTTTTCTTAGCTTTTAACCGTTTACTCACAGCCAAAGAATATGATTCTGAAATAATTGTCACTTATGAGATTACCAATATTACTATAAGACATAAAATATGCATACCATATGTATTATTTACATAATGACAAATCTTATATAAGGGCCAATTGTCTTCGGGTTCATCATGGTTTTTCAGCGCTACAGTAAGAGACTCCGTTGTATATGTTGCCGGTGGCCAGTAGCAAAGACTGTTATCTTCTGCTAAAATCCACGTACATGGAACTGCCTCGATTGTGCAATCCTTTATGAATTTAACAATTTTCCAGTTGGGCATCTTGAAACTTTGATGGTTGTGACATGTAAATAGAAAAATTAGTAAAGTAAAATGCAAACACATTTTAATTGTGTATGTACACTATCATGCATTAAAAATCTAATATTATTGAATGGCTACTTTAACTATACTATATTAACTAGTGAGCAAGGTGGGATGAGAATGAACAATAATATAATAAATTAAATTGGATAATTGAATTTAATTATTTTAATTAATTTAATTTAATTAATTATCTAAAAAACAAGTATATAGGTACCTATTATTAAAAACGTAAAAGGTAAAGATAGCATTTGTTTTAAAATTCATTGCAATGAATAATTGGAATGAGACCAACTTGATGCTCGACTTGATTAACAGAGGTATAAACTGGAAAATACTTAAAGGCAATTTCCTTCACATTCCACATTTTAAGATTTGATAAATTGCTACCTAAGTAGATTCCATATTCAGATGAATTACATGGCCTGTGATAGAGATTTTCTAAATTACGATATTTCTTCCCAATTAAAACCAATCCTCCATCAATACCAGTTACGAAATTTTTAATTTGAACCACCGTTCCATCCAACAGTGCACAATAATTATCACCTTCTTTTAATTTTAATACATAATTTTCACACAACAGTTTTTTATACTGTGGGCAAGAAGTTCCCGGTAATAATGGACCATCATTATGCTCATTATAAGCGACCTTTTTTGGTTTTTCTTGTGGAAGTGTATCACTTGTAGCTGAATTTAATTCTGTCATCCGTTTAACAATTTGTGACAAAGGTTTATCTTGCTTGTGCAAATGTTTTTTTATTTTTTGCATGTAATTCTCAAAAGGGAATGCACTGAAATTATGTAATGGACCAAATCTTGCAACATCATCAACTATATGTAGTAAATTGTGTACATTATGAGAAACGTGTTGTTTTCCGTATAAAGTCACATACGTCTGCACAAAATATACTAGCAAAGAACGAGCATAATCAAGATCTACAGCGATGTACCTTTTTGTCGATAAAATTGTTACAGCTACATGTAGGCATAGAAAATTTAAATACATGTCCCTACTAACAATATCTTTTAATAATACAGGCCCTGTATACAAAAGAAACTGTCTAAACTCAGTCGCTTTCCATCTTTTAAGTTCTTCAAGAGATCGAGATTTTCGTACAAACTCACATGGAACATTGCTAGAGTTGTTTACTAGGGCAGCAGATAATGTTTTAGTATCTCTTGAAGACATTTTAGAGGGAGGTTTAGCAGCTCCTGTCCAAAGAATAAGTAATTTACGCATAACCCCAAGACAAATTAAATGCATGTAATCTAGGGGGATGTCTTGTATCATATCAAAATCTGGTATTTCTTCCAAGATTGAAGTGTTTGCATGGTGTTCAGGATCAGATTTAGAAATAAAGTCATGATGTGTACGAAGTTGAATATCACGTTCAGGGGGGAAACAGACTCTATTATTGTGGTATATCCCTCGAATGTTACATTTAGAACAGGAACTATAACCTGTGTGCCCAACAGTACCAGTGCAAAATGATTTAGCGGGAACATCAAAAATTAATGCTTTAATCTTAAAATTGTAGAAGTGGCCATTATTAATGAAACCGTTGTTCGTTAAATACACTACTTCATTCACAAATTTTCTAAGATAGCAGTTAGCGGTATCAGGCTTTGCGTTTCCATGATAAAGTCCAATTGTTTCAACGTGTTGAGGATTTTGAACAAGAGAGCACAGTATTGGATATAACTGGCTAGAAGAACTTTTTGATATCGGCAAGCCATCAACATTTACATAAATTTCAACTAATTTTAAAGAATGGGAAAGTTTGTACTTTGCAAGAAGTCTTTCTATACAATTTAACAAACCGAAATGATAATACTCCCCTGGATTAACCAATTCTTTTAACACACATCTAGGAGTTTTCAATAATGTCCTACCGTCTGATGGCAAATTATTGTAATCGCCACCTTTTTTAAAATATCTGATAAAGCCGACAAAGTAATGTTGTGTTTGAATACCCATTCACTTATTTGTGAATTCAAATCGATTGGCTTATTACCCATCTCCACTTTAGTAGAGTCGTGGTCATCGGCGTCGTTATCAAAATGCCTCGATTCATCTTCGGATGTAGCAGAATCAGATGAATAATCTGAGTTGAACAATGAAGAAGTAGATGTGTTCACATCAATAACTGATTCTTGGTAGACACATTGATTTGTTATCAATAATTGCATATGATCTGAACCGTCGTCTTCAATTAATGATCTATGAGGTATTTCGGTATTTTTTTTTACATCTGAATTATTACAAGTAGATGAAGTAGAAGATGAGGCCATGTATATTGAAACATCGACCATGTCTCTCGCTTTTCTGTACGTTTTTTGTAAAATTTTCGGCATAATGCAATTTCCCGGTATATAATATTGAGGTTATGTCAAATTGCCACACAAACAAATAATTATTAAGATGTGCGTAGCATACGTTTAGTGATTAAATAAATAAAACGTTCTTACCTTTAATAGGAAAACCAAATGTTTACTGCACTATACACAATAAATCTAAAATTTTGCTTTTTGGCGGAAAACTGTTATTTATAGCAACACGCGATCTATCTGTATGTAGTCTATACAAGATGCGATGCGCATGCGGATCGGCCCGATCGGCGTCGCGTGGACGTGACGTCACCAGTATGGGAAATTTGAAATCAACAGTACTATTTTCTAATACGAAAATCGATATTTTTTTAGTGCCATGCTTTGACACACAATAAACAGAAATTATATTACGTATGTCATATGTCACATTATTATATAAAATAGTATGTCCACTGGAGTTATATCCAGTGGATATTCAATGAATCTTTCGTCAAAGTAATAACATGGAAGGATAACCAGTGGACATACATCCGCATTTGTCCATAGGAATTACAATAAAGTATATTCAATGAATATTGTCCGTCTGATATCCATGGACATACTGGATGTATCATGGGAACAAAATGGATATCCAATGGACATCGTGTGCTATATGGGATCATTTAGCCGATATTAAACAAATATTGTAATTTCAATAAACGAAAATATAATGATTTTGAATATTGTGCAAATCGTTGTTATCATTTAGTTATTGTTACATCATTTAGAAGAATATTGCAAATATCGCTTACACACATTTATCCGACATTGAACAAATACTGTGATTCCAATATACGCAAAAATAAATATTTTGAATATTGTGCAAATATCGTTGTTAACACATTTAGAAGCTGTTATACTTACATCATTTAGCCGATATTGAACAAATATTGTAATTTCAATAAACGAAAATATAATGATTTTGAATATTGTGCAAATATCGTTGTTACATCATTTAGAAGTTATTGTACTACATCATTTAGCCGATATTAAACAAATATTGTAATTTCAATAAACGAAAATATAATGATTTTGAATATTGTGCAAATATCGTTGTTACATCATTTAGAAGATATTGTGCTTACAACATTTATCCGACATTGAACAAATACTGTGATTCCAATATACGCAAAAATAAATATTTTGAATATTGTGCAAATATCGTTGTTAACACATTTAGAAGCTGTTATACTTACATCATTTAGCCGATATTGAACAAATATTGGAATTTCAATAAACGATAATATAATGATGTTGAATATTGTGCAAATATCGTTGTTACATCATTTAGAAGATATTGTGCTTACAACATTTATCCGACATTGAACAAATACTGTGATTCCAATATACGCAAAAATAAATATTTTGAATATTGTGCAAATATCGTTGTTAACACATTTAGAAGCTGTTATACTTACATCATTTAGCCGATATTGAACAAATATTGGAATTTCAATAAACGATAATATAATGATTTTGAATATTGTGCTAATATCGTTGTTATATCATTTAGAAGTTATTGTACTTACGATATTGAACAAATATTGTAATTTCAATAAACGGAAAAATAATTATTTTGAATATTGTGCAAATATCGTTGTTACATCATTTAGAAGATATTGTGCTTACAACATTTACCCTACATTGAAAAAATACTGTGATGCCAATATACTCAAAAATAAATATTTTGAATATTGTGCAAATATCGTTGTTAACACATTTAGAAGTTGTTGTACTTACATCATTTAGCCGATATTGAACAAATATTGTAATTTCAATAAACGAAAATATAATGATTTTGAATATTGTGCAAATATCGTTGTTACATCATTTAGAAGTTATTGTACTTACGAATTTCAATAAACGGAAAAATAATTATTTTGAATATTGTGCAAATATCGTTGTTACATTATTATTATCTTGGTTATCGTTGAGTTGTTAGCGACTTCCGTCGTTCCGTTCACCCGCATTTGCCGTTTGAAGTTTCGACCCTACCAACAGTGAGATCTTGTCGGAGAGTACCAGCATTCCCTTTGTCGGCATCCACTACCGACGTTCGGAAGTTTTAAAAAAAGGGCACTGTGAATGTTGAATCGATTAGACTCGACTTTTTACATTGCGTCTTATATGGCTAAAATATGCCCAGTTTCAATTTCATGCAATTCGGTTCACAAATGGTCGAGATGTCATAAGGGCCTCCCTGCAAAGATTAATCGTAATCGGTCCATTTGTTTTCCAGATATCGTGCAAACGGACCGACAGACGGACGGACAGACACCGCAAAATTATGAACTCGCTAGGAGCTCGTTAATAATGGCTGATACTCGACTGCATATTGTTGTAACAGAAATAAAGCTGATGATTATTGTGACGGAATGAAATTACTCTGATGTACATGGTGGGGCTAAGGCCCTTCGGATCATAATTGCTTCACGTAATTTGTTTAGTATACTTTATATTGAAAAAATAAAATGTTTGATTGACCTTCGTCAAATGTCGTATTTTTAAAAAAGACTGAAAATGAGGCAGCTCAGATTCTGGGGGCATATACACAGGAGGAGTAAAGATCATATATTGCAAGTCGCCAAGAATCTACACGCCGCGGTATGGAAGGTAGGGCGGCCCTGCTTCACATGGAACACCACCATAGACCAAGCGATTGAGGCCTCGGGGATACCCAGGGAACGATGGGTAGAGTGGAGTAGAGATAAACAACAAATGAAGACCGAAAGCAGACGAATGCTTGAAGTGGAGGAAGAATCCGATATAAGTACAAGCAGCCAGGAAGAAGACGCAGATGAGACAGAAAGCAATACAGGGGAAAGACAACAATAAGAAGGGAAAAGCAGCGTAGGAGCGAAGAAGCGAGAGGAACGCCGGGAGGAGGGGCAGTAGATTGAAAGCTGAGTTCCCACTAAGGCAGTATACCAGTGGCGAAGCTGTGGCCGTACCCCTTTGGGTCGGAAAGAAAAAAAAAACCAGTTAGCCGCCCCCCTCACAGCCCCCCCAATCCCCAAAATCCACCACATTGTTTGGCATATGTCGCGGCCCAGCGCAATGGCAACAAAGTTGTGGAGATGTACCCCAGCTGTTAGACTCTACCAGGGATACATCCCCACGACAGCTGACTTAATTCTGGGAGAGGCGGAACCGCCAGGCATATGTCAAAGTATCAAGTATCAATTGAAATGGCAATTCCCTAAACAAATTGTAGTTCTGGATATCCGAAACTACAAACTTTCCACTAGCACAAAAAACCACATACCTATTCAATTATATGTGATAGTGGAAGAGGTCTTAGTCTGTGCCTCAATTCAAAACTTAGCCGCCGCCGGAGCGATTTAGTTTCTCTAAAAAAAATTCGTCGATTGGTCAAATTTTGAGGAAAAACGGGTTATAAAACAGCGAAATCGTTAAAATTAAGGGCATAATTAATACGTTACATAAAAAATACGTAATTTTCAAGTACGTTCCCATTCTGCAATTAAATGTGGGGCGTTCCATTAAAAAAAAAGTAAGTTTGATACGCCACTGATGGAATACAGCACGCCACAGGTGATTAGAAATATTCCATAAATTTGAGGAATTATCCGTTAAGTACTGGTATACACTTGCCTCTCGTTTTCAATGAGTCAAGCTTTCTTATGCAAATTCTCTTTAGTTTAGATTAACAGAACCGGAATTTTCTTGAAATTTCTCAATCCGTCTATTTTGCGGGGGGTACAGCTAGAGCTACAGGTAAAGTATTCTGTAGTATTTCTATTTAGAAAGAAGGATTGAAGGATCCCACGCTTTGATCTCAATGCACGATAACCGAAGTGCAATACGATTTACAGCTGTGTGAATTCTAAATAGGATGTAAGCAAGCAGTTATTTAGATATAATTTTCAAGGAAGGGCTTTTTCCCAAACGTGTAGTAGGTACTATCAAAAGCCTGTGGTCCTGCGTTTTAACATTGAATAAAAACGCTATTTGGTTTTAATTTTGCAATCAAGTTCAGACAAGCTTTGTATAAACTTCGCACACATGTTACCGGTTCCTAGTGTCTTCGAGCGTATGTCTGAATTGATTAACAAATCAATGGCGCAATCAAGGCCGCACGTACTCCTGATTCCAAGTAGGCGATTATAATATAATCTTTCTTGTGGTTTAGCGAATTTTGTATAAGATACACCCCCTTTAATTTAATTAATTTCTTATTTACCTATTTATTAATCATTAATGCGACTTTGGTTAAAGTAGGTAAAGCATGACATTCAAATCTGGCAACACTACCCAAGGCCAAAGGTTATAGTTATAGCATTGAATATAAACACAGTTATAGGAGCGAGAATTGAGAAACGCATTTGGTCGTTTCTGTTTGTCAGTACCTTGCAAGTGCAAACGCGGCAATGCTTTCTTCTCATTTCACGTGAGGTGTGAATACTGAATAGAACGAGACAGATGAGCTTCTGTAGCTTAACGCTATAACGTCAATCCGCTTATACTGCTGTTTTGCAATTGAGGCAGAGCGTTGAGTGGGATTTATCACTCAACGGGCAGAGGCAAGCATTCGTCTCGCCCCGCATCCGTGTGCAAGCTTTCTTTCAATTCTTTCATTGTTAACTATTTACATTTAGCAATTAGCACAGTGTGGTCTGGCAAGTACTTATGATTGTTTAACGTTTAACCCCTGATTGAATTGAATATACGGTTTAAGTATTTTAAGTGTCTGATTTGATAGTGCCCGTTATCTGCCACAGTAAGGTAAGTCTATAAATTGTATATTTTCCAGCAATCTAGATTCCTACATTGAATAGATATGATACCGTGACTGTGCATAAACATGATAAACAAGCACTTGCATGTACCTAAAGTTGAAAACCGAAAAGCTATTATGTCAGAGTCCTTTGTGTCAAAAATTCTTATTCAATCGGCATTTTGATTTACACATCGTCTAATTATATTTCTGCTCAATTATTTGCTTGCATAATTATTCCTAGTGTATTCCATTTTTTTTATATAAAAAACAGCTTTAGCAGTACTTGTACTTATATCATTGAAAAGACAGTATGTAGGTACTAATATTCAGATTATCGCTTACTTTCTAAATCCTGTAATTACCTAGTTTAATTTATTAACGAGCTCCCAAGAGAGTTCGCCATTTTTCGGTGTTTATCCCTTAGCTTAGGGCTTAGGATGAATGATCGATTACGATAAAATCATTGCAGGTAGATCCTTTGTCGAATTTGTCGATCGGATTTCGTGAATTAGCAATTACGGCCAAACAAATAAGGTCATTTATGAACCTCTAATGCATTAATTACATTCAATCTGTGCATAATCGAATTTTATGAAATTTGGAGGAGCTCGTTTGCTATAATTGTTCCAATTTTTTATACAGGGTGTCCATTTTTCAATTTGCCACTATGGGCATCTCGCTTATCTTTAAGAGATAGGATTTTGATGGTTAAATGAGTGCAAAGTTGCGAGTTTTCGTGCTGAAAAATAATCTGAAAAGAAATTTAAATTATCTTGATAAACTAATCGTACTTACTAGATATTTCTAACCAAAACATTATTCAGACACTTTTTTATGGAAGATCCGAAAATGCCATCTAGTTTTTAATAATTTTCAAGATGACTGAGGAACACGTGGCAGCCTTATTTTTTTATGGGCCCCATTTTGGATTTTGACAATTTTAGATTAAGCCTTTTTTCTCTTTACAAGGATGTATCACATAATATGGTGGTTCATTGTCACATTTTTATTGTGATTTGGAAAATCAAAAAGTTCTTTAGTTGTAAACAAAAGTTTGACAGTTTTACCCATCTGCTCGTAGTTGCATTGGCATGGAACTACTCAGTTGTGTTGAGAACATTCGATTTTCAACCGAACGAAAATTTGTACCATGTCTAGCACAAACGCTACCTAGTTGAACTAGGATCAAACTGTCAAACTTTTGTTTACAACAGCAATTTTTCCAAAGCACTCTTCGCAAAGAATGTATAAGGAAACTTGGGGTGCCACGCGTTTCTCCTGCATCTTAAAAATGTAAAAAAACGGGATGACATATTCGAATTTTGCTATATTTCGAAAACTGGACACCATGTATTTAAGTTTCAGCATTTCATGTAATCTTTAACAAATAATAATAATGTTAATAATAATAATAATAATAATAATAATAATAATGTTTAATATTCTACAAAAAATAAAATCCGTTTAAGTACAGAATATGTTGTTTTAACATTACCACGTATAAACTAAAATAAAACAAAATTATAAAGTAGTTTTCAAAATGACATATAGTAAATCGAATAGCAGATTAAAGAAAAACAAATAATAACTTTCATTGTTTGTTGTTGTTTAATGCTCTTTGTTTCCTTCTTTATTTAAAAGATTGGTTTCTCACTTCCTCAACTTGAAATATGTGTCATTGTTGCCAACATATGACGGGATTCTCATATGGCTAGAAAATTTCTATTGCATTTTCTACATTTTAATTAATGTTATAACGTACGAAGAACGATTCAACATTATTTTATCGCCATTAAAGATTCGCAGGATAATTGCCTAATTGGTTCTGTATTTCATTTCTTCGTGGTAATTTTTCATACCCTATTCTGCAAGTTTCAATAATGGAATCTTATTATTAGTGCCTACTTTAGATATAAAATATAATTATGGAAACAAATAATTTCTTGCGATGCTGTATAGAAGTAACTGCAGTACTTGGCATAAATACGTTTTAAATTTTAAAATGAATCAGTATACTAAAATGAATTTATAATGTTTTAACCGAAAATCAGAAACTTGTTCGGACTTATAAGTAGGAAAGCTGACATACTTACGTAGTGATATCTTACTAGTAACGTGGAGGGGTGAACATGACGTATCATGATGTACCTACACCAAAATTAAAAATTACCAAATATTAAATGAATTCAGTAAACTCAACACAACATTTCCAAAATTGCTACTATTTGTACACCAATGTTACGAGATGGCCAACCCTTCGGTTAATGTGTATGTTTAAGTATTGACAACCATGATTATTTGTAGATGTACAAACCTACAAGTCGTTCAGCAAAGCATATATCAATTAAACGTAAACTAGCATCTCTGAAGCATGTACGCTATGCAACAGATCAAAAAAAGAATATGGAAACCTACGCTTGTACCTCGACTTCCTCGACAACTGTGTTAAAATCTAATGGGGATGCTAAACAAACAAACATTAATAACAAACATATGTTCGGTACTAACATACCCAATTCTTTTGATTCACATGATGAATCTGTGCATGAAATTGAACATCTACAACTTAACATCTCTAGTAATTCAAGTTCGAACAGCAATAGTGTTTGCGACATTGATAACCAAAATTTACCTAGTGACTGTAATACACATATGGTTCCTTCAATAACTACTTTACCAGAAGAACTGAAGTTTTGGTCGATAACAGAAAAAGTTACTCATAAACAATTAAATTCTTTATTACGGATTTTAAAAAAATACCATAGCGGCTTACCTTTATGTTCAAAAACATTATTAAACACTAGTGATAATTATGAAGTAAAAAATATGGCATCCTTACGAAACACTACTGGCGAATTTGTGTATTTTGGAGTACACAATTTTTTAACTAATTTCCTTGATAAATTTCACCAAATTTACCTACAGCATGATGAAAAAATTGTTTACTTGCTCATAAATATTGATGGAATACCAATTCAAAAAAGTACTTCTAATCAACTTTGGCCAATCTTAGCATCAGTTATATCGCCAGACTTTAAAAGTACTCCGTGGCCAATTGCCATATTTTATGGTGACAGTAAACCGTTTTCAATAGGGGAATTTTTGGCACAATTCATTATTGAAATGAAACACTTGACTATTCATGGTCTTTTACATAATAACACTCAGTATTCCATTAAAATTAAATCATTTATTTGTGATGCTCCTGCAAGAGCTTTTATTAAATGCATTAAAAGCCATAACAGTTATTATGGTTGTGAACGGTGCACAATTAGAGGTGTTTATTTAGACAACAAAGTGGTATTTCCTGATTTAAATTGTGACTTAAGAACGCACATCTCTTTTATAAATAGACATAATAAAGAACACCATGTTAGCACATCTCCTTTAGTACAATTAGATATTGATCTTATTAACGATGTAACTTTGGATTACATGCATATGGCTTGTTTAGGGGTGATGAAAAGACTTCTTAATTTATGGATTAAAATTCGAAGTGCAAACAGCTTATCGCGCTGTAAAATAATTTTAATTAGTAATCTACTACATTCTGTCAGAAATTATATTCCTGTTGAATTCCAAAGAAAACCAAGAACCTTGAATGAGCTTGACCGTTGGAAAGCAACAGAATTTAGATTTTTTATGTTGTACATTGGACCAATTGTTTTAAACAATTTTTTACCTAAAAAACTGTATAAGAATTTCCTATATTATCACTGTGCCATACGAATAATATGTTCAAAAAAGCTACTGGAAGAGTATGGATGTGTTGCTATTGATTGCATAAAATTTTTTTTTTGTGGTGTTAAAAAAATTTACGGTGAACAAGAAACTTCATATAATATGCATTCTATTTATCATTTGGTACATGATGCAGTTACAGCAAATATTCCAGTTGATCAAATTAGTTGCTTCGTTTTTGAGTCATTTTTAGGAAAACTTAAACACTTAATTCGCACCCCTAATAAACCACTATCCCAAATTTGTAGAAGATTGTCTGAAAATTTTCCAACTATTTCGTTGTATCGCCAAAGCAATAACATCATTAATATAAAAAAAAATAAATTAGGTTTTATAAACTTTATTGAATACGACAATTTTTGTATTAAAGCTGATACTAGTGCAGATTCATATATATGGTTAAAGAACAATAAAGTAATGCATGTAGCAAAAATTGAAGAAATTGGAACAGAATTATTTTTTTTTGGTCATGTTTTTCAATCATATAGTAATTTATATTCCATATATTCAATTACTTCCTCAAAATTATACACATCCGTGGTATCAGATAAAAGCTCTTTTCTTTTTAAAATAAATGCCAAAGACTTTTTTTCCAAATGTGTGGTTTTTATTGTTGAAAATAATATGGTTGCAGTTGCAATGTTGCATCACACAAATTAATATACGTATTATTAGTAGGCACAGTGATTTTACACTTCACCTGAAATTATACATGTATAATAGTTAAAATAACTAAATCAAACAGCGAAATTTATTTACTTGCATCATATAAGCACTTTGATTTGGTACTTGAGTATAGTAGGTAACTTACTAAACGCAAATCATAAATGTAACTTGCTTTAGTTTTAGATTAGGTAAGCACTGTATTGTATCGTAAAAAATAATTTTGGCACTTTCAAGTTTTCAACATCACTAATAATGTGGGATGTTATTATTTGGACAACTGAAAATACGACTGATGTTGTGCCGTCATCCTGGGTTGTCGATTCCGCTGTTCGAAATAAGTATATGTACCCAAAGCAAATTAAATCCAGCAAATTAAAAAAAATTATTAAAAACTGTGAGGAACCATCCACCAAATATGTATACACTGAGTTGGATGCAGTTTTCAAAAAGACCGTCAACTCCTACGCAGAAGGTGAGAAAATGTTACACACGCTGGAAAACACTTCTTCCCTTGACACTGACGGTACTCGATCATGTATAGGTATGTTTATGATTCCATAAAAGTTTCTTATTTTAATTACTTACAGACAAAAGCCCATCGCCGTGCAGTAGTGTTCATGCACCACCAGGAGATGGTTTTCGAGAGTCATTGCTGCCAATTCTAGACAAAATAAATGGGAATTATAAATTAATTTTAGAAGAAATAGCTAAAATCTCTATAGAATTAAAGGACCTAAGGAATGGTCAAAATCATCTCCGAATGAAGTTGTCTAATGTTTACGAAAAACAAAGTATACCAGAATGGCCTCTACCGCTACCTATAAAAACTGACGCCGACTTTATAGACGCAGAGAATTTGTTGCCGGAAAAACATGACGCTCTGGTAAGTATATATATGTTACAGTCAAAGTGATTAATCCGGTCATTATTCATAATGACCGGTCAATGTGAATAATTAAGGGAAGAAAAATTTTTTGGACAGTCCCCGGAAACTTAGGGGAAGGGAAACTCTCTTCTCAGTTTCATAAATGGCAATAGTTTCCCTTCCCCTAAGTTTCCGGGGACTGTCCAAAAAATTTTTCTTCCCTTAATTATTCACATTGACCGGTCATTATGAATAATGACCGGATTAATCACTTTGACTGTAACATATACATAAACGGCTCAGTTTCTCAAACGTTCTGGTGAATTTGGGACGATAATTTCCATGGAAACCTTTGTCAACACAATAGCGAAAGAATGGTTAAATAGCTTCATAAATGAAAAAGTTACGAGACTTTAAATTTCGTTTCCATTAGCGTCCGCGTTTGACGCCCGCGTATTGGTTCGTTTAGTACGTATACTGTTCGTGATTGGCGCGCGAACTTTGCATTAATACAATTCAAATCGTAAACTCAAATATTATATTTCTTAGTGATATACAGGGTGTTACATATAAGTATGTAAAAAAAAATTGGGTGGTAGAGGGGATCAAAACAAGCACTTTTTCCAAATAAATCGAGGATCCAACGCGTTTCGTTTGGGAGCCACTCCCAAAAAACTGGTGGTGAAATTTGCATTTCTTCTTTAATTTTTTTCTCAGCAACCATAAGAGACAAAGACGGTTGATACGTCTTTGAATAGGTTTTCGGGTATGGGCTTTCCGATTTTGCAAAAATTTTTTAAAAATTGCTTCCACGAATGGGTGCACCCCTAAATGGGGGTGCGAAAAAAATTCTGATTTCGATGAAATTTGGTATCTGGGGGTTTTTGGACATGAAAATGACGAATCTGAAATTAGTTTTAAAAGACGTATCAACCGTCTTTGTAACTCTTATGTTGCTGAGAAAAAAATTAAAGAAGAATAATGCAAATTTCACCACTTTTTTGGGGGTGGCTCCCAAACGAAACGCGTTGGACCCTCGATTTATTTGGAAAAAGTGCTTGTTTTGATCCCCTCTACCACCCAATTTTTTTTTACATACTTATACATATGTACACCCTGTATTGACTTTGCAATTTTTTGATCACGTTTAGGTATTAGTTTTGATCTATATTTTATTTGAATGTGGTATTATCAACCTCATCAAACTTCTCCATTGTATCCTAGGAAAATATCAGGCATTTAAAAAATATTGGGCAGGTCAATAATAGTCTTGTAAGTAGGAATTTTTGGGTACACTAATTGTCTATGGTTATATATTATTTTAGTGCAGGTACCTACGTTTAATAATATAAGAATAATTTTTAGGTGAAAATAATTTCACTGGTAGGAGGGAATTCTCTAAGACAGACAATCTCCTTCATGATAAAGAGATTGATATCCAAAGATATCGCTCTCCAATACTCGACGAAAGGACGGAAAGGGAAAAAAAATTTTTCGCAAACAAGGTTCTATAACATCATTATAAGTGAGTCTCCTAAATCAAATAGTGATGTTTGTAACTTATGCTTTACTTATTTAAGGTGCTGCAAGAGGTGTTTACGAGAATGCAACTGATTTAGCTATATCACAAATGATCGGATTTGCATTGGCTTCAGCTTCCGATTGGGAGGGAGGCAACAGAAGGAAGCTGAAGCCTGTGGGAGAGGAAAGCAAGCCTGTGGGAGAGGAAAGCAGTGCAGACGGGGTTGTCGCAGAAAATGAGGATCAACAGGTGGAACCTATCGAATTAAGTGAGTGGATCTACATGTTTGATCTTTAATTTAATATAATTTTTTTTCCAGATTGACACAAGAATCACAATGTACATGTTCTAGTTCTTAATGGTGTTTATGTTCATGATTTTTAAATTGAATTTGGTTTTTTAGTATGTACTTATATAGTATTTGTAAGTAGATTTGTTTATTAGTTTTTTTTTTAAATATAATGCAGTTGGGTTTAAATTTTGCTTTTGTGTATTTATTTTTAACCTTAGTGAAATTTTAAATTTTTTTTAAATACTTGCGTTAAGGCGGCGATACCGCCTATACCTATAACATGGACGGACTTTTTTGCATGACTTATTTATTTATGAACCGATTTTTACAAAAAAAAATTTTAATCAATTCATATGGACTAATAATAGGAAGTTTTGAATTCAGTATCTTCAATGACGAGGATAATCATAGTTCATACAAATTGCACCATTTCAGAGCGGAAGCGCCCACCAAACAAAACCTAAGATTATTGTCGCTGACCGTTACAATTCAAAACTTGCTCTTATTGGCCCATATAAAATGTGGTTATTTAAAAAAAATTGGTTAAAATCGGTTCAAAATAGAGTAGTCATGCAAAAAAATTTATAGGTATAGGCGCCACCTTAATTTAATGACTACATTCGTTTTACACAATATAAGGCATGCATGTGTTCATTTCATGACATTCGTTTTACACAATATAAGGCATGCATGTGTTCATTTCATTTGTTCCATTCCAAGTCAATTCCTATAGATTTATTTGTTCTGTTCAGTGTGACTAGTAATCGGTGTGTTTTTTTATTATATGGAAGTATCGTAGGTACAATGGGTAAATTTTAGTGTAAGTATTGAAATCATTCAGCTGCTATCTGGTGCTGAATGCTGAATAATAAATATTTATTAAATGTATTGTAAGATACCGAATATTGCTCTGATACTTGCATCACAATATATACGCAATGTTCAAAAAGGGATTCCTCAATATTGAACCTTGATATTTATACAATATCAAAATTCTTTGACATTAAATGTTGTATCAATATTACTTACCAAATATTGTATCATGATTAGATACCAAAATTTTATCAATATTAGATACCCAATATTGTACAAATATTGGATACCAAATATTGCTCTGATACTTGCATCACAATATGTACGCAATGTTCAAAAAGGGATTCCTCAATATTGAACCTTGATATTTATACAATATCAAAATTCTTTTGACATTAAATGTTGTATCAATATTACTTACCAAATATTGTATCATGATTAGATACCAAAATTTTATCAATATTTGATACCCAATATTGTACAAATATTGGGTACCAAATATTGCGGTAATACTTATACTAAATATTATGCCAACATTGTGTAGTAAATATTGAAAGTACAAGTGGAACACAATATTGCACACCAATATTTATACAATATAAAAAATGTCAACATTAAATATCGTGTCAATATTTAGTACCATATTTGCAGAATATTGGAATATTGAAAAAAAATATTGCACCAATGTTGTATTTCTACATGGGATGTAATTCAGCTAACAATTGTTGTCGCAATTTAGCAGGAATTACTGCTCTGTAGCCCCACATAATTACTCCTTTCTCTACTGTTAATTCATCTTTACGTCTACAATATGGTAATAAGTCACTATCTTTGGTATGAGGAAAACCATACCTAATGAAATTGAATACTTTACTTAATTCAGTGTCTTTTCTTGTCTCAGCTCTTAACCTAATGGAATCAATAACATTGACAGTTTCCAAAAAATTAAAATAATCAACCTCATCGCCCTCATTAATTTCTACTGTTTTCATAGGCAATCTGCTTAAGGCGTCTGCTTTTACATTATCTGAACCTTTTATATACCTAATACTATAATCAAACCCTGACAAAAATAATGCCCATCGCTGCATCCTTCCAGCGGCCATTTTAGGTAATGTCTTAAATTCGCCAAAAATTGTTTGTAAAGGTTTGTGATCTGTGACAATCTCGAATTTACGTCCCGCTAAATATTGGTACAATTTTTGCACCGCCCAATAGATACCTAAAGCCTCTTTTTGAACCATTGCATATTTTTCCTCAGCTTTTGTCAAAACCCTTGACACAAAACATATAGGACGCTCAGTACCATCCCTCATTACATGTGATAGTGCCGCGCCTATTCCACTTTGACTTGCATCACAAGCTAACCTTATTGGTTTATTTTGATCAAAATGTACTAATATTTTCTCAGATGCTATTTCTCGTTTAGCTAACTGAAATGCTTCCTCACATTGTATAGACCAAGTAAACTTTGAGCTCTCTTTTAAAAGATTATATAATGGTTTCAACTTATCAGCGAAATTATGCACAAATTTCGAATAGTAATTAACCATTCCAATAAAAGAACGCAATTCTGTAACATCTTTTGGCTGTGGTATTTCTTGAATTGCAGCTATCTTTCTACTATCCGTTCCTAACCCTTCAGCTGTAATCTTATACCCTAAATATGAAATCGATTCTCGAAAAAACTCACATTTTTTTATATTTAGTCTAAAACCTGCACGATACAATTTCTCAAAAACAACTGCTAAATTTTCCAGATGTTCTTTGTCAGTTTTACCTGTGACTACGATATCATCAAGATAGTTTACTGTATTTTGACATCCTAGTAATACCTTTTCTACTTTACTTTGGAATATAGCACACGCAGGCTTAGTGCCATATGGTAGTCGTTTTACCTCATAGATGCCATAAGGTGTGCTCCAAGCTAAAAGTTTTGCTGTTTCTGCATCTAATTCTAACTGGTTATATGCGTTTAAGAAATCTAATTTGGTAAAACGTTGTCCCCCGCCAAGAGAAGAAAATATTTCTTCAATTAACGGTAACGGATGATTTACATCCCTTAAAAATTTGTTAATTGTAATTTTGTAATTGGCACACACTCTCACGTCCTTTCCATTTGCCTTAAGGACTGGTACTAATGGCGTACCCCATTCAGAATTGTCCACCTTGCAAATTACGCCTTCTCCCTCTAATCTAGCTAATTCTTGTTTAACTTTATCTCTGAACGCTATTGGGATTTGTTGTGCTTTTATGAAAGTGGGCGTTACATTCTCAACTACTGACAAATTAATTTTCTCACCCTTATATAAGCCTAGTTCTGCTTTAAAAAGGTTCTTATATTTGTTTAACAAAATATCTAATTCTATTGGTACTTCAACATTAACCTTATTAATTGATACATTACGATTATGTAACGAAACATCTTTATAAAAAACATTAGTACCCCTAATTATTAACTCAAATTCAGTGAAAATATCTCTGCCTAATAATGCCCTTTTTGCACCATCTACTATAATTAGGGTAAATGTCTTTGAACAGTCTCCTATAGTTACAGTTACCTTGATTTGACCTCTAGGTTTCACAATCGGTCCATCATAATATCGCAACCTGACCGCCGTCTGTTCTACCTTAATGTTCGAAAAATATTTACAATACATTTCATATGGTAAGCAAGATAAACCTGCTCCTGTATCCACTTCCATAACAATAGGTGTCTTATTAACTAAAATTTGTACATACAAAGGTTTAACATACCTGTTAGGTTTCATATTGAAAATATCTACCTTTAAAGTTTCAACGTTAACATCATCATCGTCCTCTTCATCAATAAAATGATTATCTTTAACTTTACGTTTACAAGCAGCAGCTATATGACCTTTTGTTTTGCATTTTGCACAAACGTACTGCTTAAATTTACATAATTTAAAATCATGCTTAGTCTTATTACAATGAAAACAACGGGCTTCACTCACCTCTTCGCTTTTCTTTTCTTCTACAGTGCACCTACTTTTATCGAACTTCTTTCTATCCTGTACTTGCCACCGTTTTGAAGTAGAATCTTCCTTCGCTTTCCGAACCTGATGTACTTCTACACTTCTGGATTCTCGTAATGCGGCTTCCTTGGCTAGGGCCACTTCTACCAATTCTGCAATGCTTTTGGTCGGTTTCTCTTCGCACATTCGGTTCAACACTGCCCCTGGCTTTAACCCAACGACAAACTTGTCTTTAATCCTCTCGTCCAGCAACGTTCCAAACTCGCATTCAGCAGCGGCTCTCCTTACTTTCACGTACCATTCATTAATAGTCTCTTCACCTTGCCTTAAATTATCGAAGATTATTCTCTTCCGAAACAACGATACCTTCTGCTTGAACTGATCCTCCAACAGAGTACATAAAGCAGCATAGGTTTTATTAAATGGTTTTTCCGGATAACATAAATTTTTCATAATTTTGTAAACTTCTTCGCTTACGGAGGTAATCAAAATCGACCCTTTTCGTTCCTCTTCCACCCGGTTTGCTATTAAGTATTGGTCAAGCCGTTCCACAAATATTTCCCAGTCATCTCCGATGTTGAAAGTTTTAATATTACTTATATTCCCTGTATTGACAACGGTCACATTCACGTTGTCTGGCATCGCCATTGTAAATCAGAATCCCTGCACGTACCCTAAAATTATATACTGTATTTTGGGTCGGTTTCAGAACTTTTTCCGAAAAAACAAAAAAAAAAAAACTGTTTAGCTACTTCTTCTGAATTAAATTGTTAACTTCGTTTTCTTTTTCATCTCTCGTCGCCAGAAAATGTAATAACTTTGCATAGAAAAACGTGGTGAAGCGTGATTAACTTTATTCTATGTCCTGAAGTTAGTTACATACGATTCATTGTTAAAAACTAAAGTACAGTTTACACCTTACGATACTACAACTCCTAAATTGTTATAAAAAATAAAAACAAAGCCGTTAAATGACGTTTTTTATAAAGTTCTATGCCTATTACCTTTTAGGATATGTCAAATTGCTAACAAAGTGTCGTAGTTTCTAAAAAAAACACTACAGACAGGAAATGGTTTTCTGACCACAAAGGCTAGTGTAATTTATGAAACAAGACTTACGAATACATAAAGCAATTCTACCCGAGTACCAGCACGGAATCCTCTTTTCCTGGCATATTGTAAAGTATGAGAAAGTGAGCGTTCACATATGTGAATCACAGTCGGGTAACTGATCACATGTTAAATAAATACTAATAATCCTAATCAGATAAACTACTTCACAGTCGGTAAGTAATCACTAGCAGATTTAGTCTTACATTATCCTTATTCAAACGCCTGAATTCCTATCTATTAATCATTAACTACGGTCTTATCTTATCTAATTTACAAGATTGTTAAATAAGTACATGTTATTCTTAATAATTAATTAATTAATAATTCAGTACTTCACTTAATGTACAGATTAAAATTTATCATTATTTTGTCAAACATTATTAATTAGTGACTATAGTATAAAATTTAAAAGTTAATAATAACACATGAAAGCACAAATACAAAAATTAATTAATAGTTTTCCTTATTTTACATTTTCTTTTTCTTTCAGCACCTTCAGAACTTCTTTTTCTATCAGTACATTCTCTTTTTAAATTTAGATATTTAATTCTAATAAAAATTCTTTGCTTCGAAAATGATTTCACTAATTCATATGGAACATCTATTTTTTTCTTTTGCAATTTTTTGATAATGTAGTTTGTTGTCCTTTTAATAATTATTTTACCTGGAGAAAAATTATCTTTGTGGAATTTAATAAAGTAAGTTTCCATAACTTGCATCTGACGCATCCACTCAGCCGATGGCTGAATCAGACCCCCGAACGATAGACTTTGTACCCATGAGGGCATGGCGTAAGAATGTAAATTAAGAGCCTCTTCATCTTTGTAACTGTGCCCACCTAGGTATGGGTATTTATGTATAAATTTCTTAGCAATAAATCCTGCTAAATATTGAGTACCATCATCTTCCACCCAAGATTTTCTTAATGGGGCATCAGAAGCAGTACTCTCCGAACTGAAGCTTTCATTGAGTTCGGTTTCTTCAGTACTAGATGGTTCTGTTACCACCAAATTTTTAAGTTGGGCCTGCTTGACAGCAGCAGCCATCAAGTACTCTCCATCCATTTCCTTTGGTATTTCAACATTGGAATGCGTTTGGACCATTCCTGGATTTTTCCCTAATAAAATCATCCGTACCCGGTAAATTGCATTTAATGGCGAAGGGTGGTCATGTAAACCACCTTTTGTTCTTAACTGAAAAGTAATAAAATTAGAAAATTATTTATCATAATTCGTATACAAACCTGGGAAAAAAAGTTCTCTAGGCAGTCCTGGTTTAAGCGGTGAGTAAGTAAATATGAAATACCATGCCTCTCTTTCAAATCAGTAAATAGGCACTGTAGTGACTTTGAAGTTATTAGGATACCCTTTTGAAACACCTGGAGGGCGTTTTTTCCAACACACCTCATTCCTTCAATAGTTTCTTCCATTTCATTAAGGCATTTATGTTGCATTTCCAATTCTAAACCATACGGCTTTTTTGTTGGAAGAGAAGCAGTTGAGGTATATGAATTTAATACATCAAACCAGTTATTCACAAGTTCGGTAAAATTTCCTACATTTTGGGCTAATATTGTATCGTTCCCAGGCCTATAACGCTTCAAGGCGGTTGCGGTGGTATGTGAAAGCAACTGACAGGCACGTCTTACATTCTGTCGCTGCGCTTTTTCACATTTAACATGCTGAGTTGTCAGCCTGTGGCACGAACTGATTTCGGAAACTCTCGACTCAATAAGGGCGACAAAGGGACATTTATTTATGCTAACACCATCACTGGTGACAAAACCAGTATCAATCAACCAGTTGCGCAACAATTTCATTAGATGGGGGGCGTCGGCAAAAAAATAAACTGAATTACCAGTAACAGGATGTGCTATCGACGTGTTACTTGTTGTAATGTTTAGTTCCTTCCACAATCCTTGATTGCCGCCTCCACAATCTGATACACAAGCAATAACCTCATACTTGATAGTGTGAAGATGGGTGATGATATTGTGTAAAAGTTGCTTCGTCATTTTTTGGTCAAATCCAATATATACTGGTTGCTTCCAGTTGTCGAAGAGACCTCTAGCCATGACAACCTGCATATATGAAAATGGCCCAATTACCTCCTCCTCTTTTTGATCATATTCGTATTGTGAGGATATTTTTACTTCATCGTATGAGAGGACAGTAATTCTCTTCAAGGGTGTTTTTATTTGGCCAGCGGTGTCCATAATCCTCAGTACATCATCTAATATCCCATTTTTTAGATTTATATTTGCGGCCCATTGCTGTAGTGTTGAAATGGCAGGCAATGGGTAATGAAGAGTTTGTCTTAAATAGATGTATGCCCTTTTACTAAAATATCTTAACGTGAAAGCCATCGATAGTTCTTCTTGTGTCCAACGTGCCTTTGACTTTTTCTTTAAGGCGATGTCCACTTGATTTGAAGTAAGAACATCCTTAAAACATTCCTTCACCCTCTTTTCAAATTTTAAACCACCTAATTCCTTTAGTTGCATTTCCATTGCAGCAATTTTTTGTTTCAACTTTTGCTCACTTTCTTGAAACAATTTTAATTTTCCTGTCAATGCCTTATTTTCTTCCTCAAGTTTGACTACCTGGCTTTTAAGGATGTTTATCTCATTATCACGACTGTCCAATACCGTCCCTGAGATATTAATGCTGGGTGATTGTTCAATTGGTTCAACTATCGGTGAAACTTCAATCGCAGCAGTAACTTCTAAGCTTGGTTCTTGAATCAACGCTTGTACTATTTCCTTTCCTTCTCGTCTTGCAGCTCTTTCTTTTCTAGAGGACTCAGTGATAGTTTCTTTACGAGAAAATGGTAGATACAATGATGGTATGGCTGCAAAAATTATGAGGGATAGCAAGACATCGGATATTTACAACATTTACCATCTATTTTTAGTTTTTTGGCAGGAATTCCCATTATATTAGCCATCACTTCATCCTCGTAATCACTGGGCTGAAAATGCTTACTACAAATCTTTTCTTTCTTCGTATCAAACTTATCTCTTTGGTAGCATTTTTGTACCCATTGTTTTTGTACTACCAGGTTTTTGGGGAAACTGAAAAATTTTAGGCTTTCACCTGTGACCTTACGCCTGTTACTTTTGCAGGTTGCCACACTGCACATCATACCTCCCGACATCTAAAAAAATATTAACGTTAGTTACATTGATATGTAAGAATGTCGAATCTTGATTCGTTCCAACAACGGGCAAGAAAAACTCTTTTCCCGTGAAAGCTATAATATGATTCGACAGACATCGAATATAAAGTTTAAAAGAAGTACAGGTTACATGTATGTATATTTTCCAGCACAGGAGAAGACTTTTTTGCACGTGCCTTGATTAATAAGTATATTAACTGGTATGTAGAACTTACCTTTACCTGATCTCACAATGAAAACAAGTTTTAAATATCACAAAAGCCAATTTAAAATGGTTTCAAATTTAAATCTTGCTGCCTGAAATACAGTTCAATGGCTGTCACTTGCACACTGTGACGTCATTCGTACTTCGGCCCCCTCTCTTCGTTATGGTTGCTAGTAGTTACCATGCAACCTATTAACTTTACTAACCTTGCCCAACGAAGTACCTACTTGTACTAATTAGTAACTGCCAACTTAAAGGCGAATTTACACGGGGACAGTAACTAAAGCAAGTGACTAAAGCAAGTTACTTAATTTAGCGACTGGCTGCGTGTAAACGTCCGATTTAGTACTTGAGACAGTAGGAAATTTAGTGGAAATTTTAGTCCAGTAGATAGAAGAGTATTCTATTTACTAAAGCCAGTAGGTACTCCCACCACATCATTTCTTTACTAAATCATGCACTTAGCACATGTAAACAGCTTTTCTTTAGTAACAAGTCATTGTTGAAATTGAAATTACGTATATATTTACAAAATGTCCACTTTGGCACGTTGGAACGAAGATACTACATTAAAATTCGTGCAGGAGTACAGGGTTAGAGAATGCTTGTGGAATACAAAGGCGGTAATATATAAAAATAGAAATGCTCGCGAAGCAGCATTCCGAGAACTTGAAGAGGTAATGGGAATAGAGGGTTTCGGTGTTAGCGAAATCAAAAACAAAATAAAGGCTTTGCGATCTACATATTCCCAAGAATTAAAAAAAATCAAAGATTCTAAGAAATCGGGAACTAGTGCAGACAGCGTGTATACACCTCACGTAAAGTGGTTCCAAGAAATGCACGCATTTCTACATTGTCTGGATAATAAAAGACCTACGCAAGATAATTTAGCGGTAAGTACATTTCGATACATAATTACAGTATTTTATAAGTGTTAACATATGTTCGTCAATACATATCTATTAATATTCAATATATCATCCGTTCTTGCCACGGAACAGCACCTTCTCCCACAAAATAATCACACAGCATGTCTCTTATCTGTCGTGCATATCTAGAAGAATGATTGCTTGTGCCTCCGGAGGTGGATCGAGGGATATTGGTAATATCATTTCTCCACGACCCTTGTGTAATGCAACCATTGTCGATATATCCTCCTCGTCTATAGATCCCCTGGGCATATAATTGCTTGCAGACGTTATTCTTAACCAGTTATGGAGCGCACAACAAGTTCTAATGATTTTGTCTACAGTTGATGGTAAACATGACATGGGTTTTTCAAACACTCGAAATCTGCTCACAAGGATACCAAATGCATTTTCAACTATACGCCGCGCTCTAGACAGACGATAGTTAAAAATTTTTTGACCTTTGGTAAGCGATATCCGTGAATACGGTTTCATGAGATATTTTTTTAAAGGGAAAGCATCGTCTCCCACTATAAACCCATCGGCTGGCAATAAATCATTTTCCAAAGCGTCGCATAATAATGAATTGAGAAAAACCCCTCCATCTGATTGTCTTCCATTACATCCAATATTGATGTAGGTGAAACAATAATTGTAATCCACAACGGCCATCATAATAATGCTGTTAGTTCCCTTGTAATTAAAATAGTCGCTACCACAGTTAGCTGGTGCCCGTATATTGAAATGTTTCCCATCGATTGCCCCATAGCATCGTGGAAAATTCCATCGTTGACGAAAACCATTTTCAATTATTTGCCATTGTGTGTGGTTTTCTGGTACCTAGAAAAAAAATTATCCAACAATATTCTACGTAATCTCTTATTAATTTTATTAATTGCGTTATGGTTTTAAGATTGCAACTTCAACGCCAAATGAGACCTCGGACGCTAGTGATCAGGATTCTCCTTCCGGAAATGCTCAAGATGGGGAAGCAAAAATAATGGCAAGTGGATGCCAGAGTCACCCACAAAGCATCGCTGCTTTTGAACTTCCAAAAAGTAAAAAAAGGAAATCTAATATAGAACAAGTTTCTTCAGCAATTCATGATCTGAAAAAAATTGCAAAAGATGTGAATAAAGAACCTCTGGTGGAAAACGAATTTCTGGTTTTTGGTAAATGTGTAGCAGCACAGTTAATGAAATTAAGCACAGCTAGTGCTTTATTGGCCCAAGAAAAAATTCAATCAGTTCTAACACATTTTAGAATCCAAGAACTTGAAAAAATGTCTGGCACACCTTTGCGTCCTGTTCAATCACTTCATAGTTCTTTGTCTACAACGCCGATAGCATCACCATCGCCTTCATATTCAGACACGCATGAATTCCAACCATCAACATCATTTTCTTCACATCAATTTGGAGAACCAGGCAAAGATCATAATACAATGATCTTTGAACCAGGTATTAATAGTTACAGTGATATTGTGGCACAGGCGATATCAGCTATTCAGTATAATCCCTAACTTTTTGTACCTTCATACACATATCATATTGTACATCGTATTGTATCATACATACTTGTAACAATAAAAATATAAAATAATACTTACCTTAATGTATTCCTTCAGTGCGACATATATTGCGTCACATACTTTGGGAATAAATTTTGAAATGGCTGGTCGGGAAACTCGAAACTGCCTTTGTAAAGTTCTAAAACTATTTCCGGTTGCTAAATACGTCAATGTGATTTCTAGCTTTATCTTTGCCGGAATTGCATCTCTCATAATTGTATCACATGTTGTGATAAAAGGACTAATCTTGGCTAACAATATGTCAAATGCTTCCTTAGACATTCTCATGCAATTTCGGTATTCTCCTAAATCTTCCTCAGATAATTCTTTCAGCAGCATAGAAGAAAATCCATAGGTGCTTCGACGAGCTATCCATTTCCTAACCCACATACGCCTTTTTTTGTTTTGTTCGCGTCTTATTAGATCAATAATTTCGTCACATAGTACTATAATGCACTGGTTTACTGCGACACGAAGACCTACACTTTCAGTTGCTGCCATTTTAAATTAGTTACTAAATGAAATGTGACCTAAACTAGTGTAGACAAATACTAAATGCGTATGTGCTAAAAATTAGTAACTTGCTTTAGTCACTTGCTTTAGTTACTGTCCCCGTGTAAATTCGCCTTAAGAGATGAGTTACCAAAGTTACCAGAGTAAAAACGACTATAATCACTGTCTTTGTACAACTGTTTTCGGTCGAAAACAGTTGTACAAAATCATCATTGTGACACCGAAATAGAAAAAAATTATTTACATTTGCCTAAAATTATTTACATTCACTGATTTTTCACATTTTAATTTTGGCACAAACGGCGTGCCATACAAAGGCAGTTTCCACACATGATACAAATAATTCTTTGTATCATGGTTTCCACATCGAATTTTTTTATGCACGACTAAATGGGGAGCGGGGCGTGGGCGGTGGGAATGGCTGATGTGCAGAAGTGCAGTTGACGACGGCGCATCATTAGTTCATGCGTGCCTTGTACTTTTCTCAGTTTCTCACTTCATTTTCATTCATTTCACGTGTCGCCAGTCGCCATGATGTAGCAGATTTAGTTTTAGTTTCGGTCGCCGTTAAATTCCTGATTCTGCTTATGAAGAGGAAGAGATTGTGTCAATTGTGCTTTAAAACTGATTTTTTAAGGTAAGTGTAAGACTTTAATAATAGGTAGAAAGTAAATTCGAGTTACAGAATGGGGTTGGCGTACATTCAGTATGTTAATATTCGCATTTATGCGGAGTAATGCTCTAAAAGTAGATAACTGCGCAGTTTACCGGTATGGAATTTTTTCACTTTGTGATCGGTAATAGGTACGTGGATACGTTCACTTTCAACTAACATTGAATAAAAACACTATTCAATGGCAACATATTCCAATTCCAATGACCTCTTTTATATCGAAATTGCTTTCCGTAAAAAAACCAGCACCGCAAGACTAGTGTTTCGTTTATCGCGTTTGCGTCACATTTCAATATTTATCTTATGTGGAGTTATTTTAAGATACAAGTGGCAAAGGAAGTTTGTTTTGATTGGAATTAAAAAGCTACAAAATTTCGATGACGAAGTGCAGTGTCGTATCCCCAATAGTATATAAACTTTATAGGAGAGTAAAAAAACTACCCAATTAATTTTAATTAATTACATTTGATTTTATCGTTTTTAACAACCTAATTGTAATTCGGAATACCTAGTACTTTATGGCCACTTGTGTTTCTTTATTTATATGGTTTAGTTTAGGATCATTATTTATCTAAACAATAAAATAAGCCTACGAAATTCTACTTTCTAATTTATCATGTTAACACGTGTGAATATGTGGGACCCCTTTTTATTATAAAAATAGTCGACCCGACAGACGTACGTTGTCTTAGCTACGAGTATGAATATTCAATTCGAACTGGATTAATAATACTAAAAATTTATTTCAAAAACATAGTGCTTATTGTAATCCTGTTTGATACAAAACATTGTTAGTTTTGTTTTCTGGCGCGTAAATAAAATTGAATGTTTTCCGACACGGGAACAGGCGACATACAATTTATTGGCCGTGTGTAAAACATGGATTTTCCAAACTGATCTCACAAACACTGCAACTGCCCTTAGAAATTATCGACATTGCGAAGTGCAATCGCACTGGAAATTGTAAACGTTTAACTTTAAAATAATAATAATAATAATAATAATTTATTTCATGCTATTGTACATAAAGTACTTACATATTGTCATTCATTATAGGTACGATAGTCTAAAACGTCTAAATACAGAAGTGTATACGTTACAAACATCACGAAAAAAATAACACTCCATTGACAAACAAAACTAATGCTGGACAAATATTTGATTAAAATCACATTTAATAAAATCTTCAGGACTGAAACAACATTGACGAATTAAAAAGCGTTTCATTTTATTTCTAAAAATGTGCGGTTCTAAGTCTCTAAGCCTTGTTGGTATGCAATCAAGAAACATTTGGGACTGTATTATAGGACCCTGTTGCGATCTAGTGAGCCTACCGAACTTTACACGGACATTGTGTCGTAGTCTGGTGTTATGATCATGCGTTTGGCAATTCAGAGTAAAGGTGTGAAAGTTCTTATTTGCAAAGCACAGGCACTCAAGAATGTATGCGCTCGGAAAAGTCAAAATGTTCAATTTTTTGAACGCTTCACGACAGTTTGCACGGTAATCCAACCCGGCGATTATCCTGACCGCTCTTCTCTGCATTCTGAATACATCACTATGCGATGCGGAATTTCCCCACACTATGATGGCGTAAGTCATGACACTATGGATTAAAGCGTAGTAGGCATTGATTAATACTTTTTGTGAGACGTTGGCTGCTAAGGTTCGGAGAAGGTAGGTTGCTTTACTCATTCGATTTACTAACGTCTTGCAGTGTTCACTAAATTTTAGTTGAATGGCTTGTCGTTTGGAATCATACGGATGAGTGGAATCAAAACTTCTTCGCCTTTGTACTTCCTAATCGAAATTATGGCTTCGATGATGTTCATTAATTTCTTCACCGCATGCTTGGCGCCATTACGTTGCTGGTTTATTTTCCCCAACACACAGGGCGTTCATTTGAAAACTTCACACCACGGATTTATCGAAAACCACTGATTAAAGGAAGAACGCCGAGTCACTTCAAAAAATTTGTCAAGGGAGAAAACTTTTTAACCAGAAACTACTTCACCCTCTGCCCCCCAGGGCCATTCTCTTAAAAGTTTTTAATTACAAGTGGTATCGAGTAATAGCTTGTTTGAAAGGTTTTTTGAAGTCCTTTATTTTGACGTTTGATTTTTTAAAATCGGTCGACACTTCAAAAGATTTGTCAAGGGGGAAACTTTTTAACCAAAAACTACTTCACCCTCTGCCCCCCAGGGCCATTCTCTTAAAAGTTTTTAATTACAAGTGGTATCGAGTAATAGCTTGTTTGAAAGGTTTTTTGAAGTCCTTTATTTTGACGTTTGATTTTTTAAAATCGGTCGACACTTCAAAAGATTTGTCAAGGGGGAAACTTTTTAACCAAAAACTACTTCACCCTCTGCCCCCCAGGGCCATTCTCTTAAAAGTTTTTAATTACAAGTGGTATCGAGTAACGGCTTGTTTGAAAGGTTTTTTGAAGTCCTTTATTTTGACGTTTGATTTTTTAAAATCTGTCGATTCGTTTTCATCCAGTCAATGACACATTACTTTCATTTTTTAGCGCATTTTTTAAGAATTAAAAATAATGTGCTATTGTTTGCGTTTTGTCCGTCCGGACCCACTTCTGCCGTTTCGAACTACTTTAGGGGAATGGTCCTAGAGTCCTGGAATTTGTTGCAGTAGGTAGCCTATACCTTGAAGGTGTCCCAGACGGCCATCAAATTTCGTTGTTTAAAAGCCCCCCCCCCCCCACGAATTATTTTCTGAGATGCTGTTTTTGAAAGTAAAACGTGCATAACTTTTACATACGACAACCAATTGGTCTCAGATGCATGCCTTTAGTGGTGCCAAGTTAAACTTTAGTGAATGGGGGGGGGCTAAAAATTAATTTGATCCCTCATTGTATTCTAATTAAAGGTCTCAACGAAAGGAACCGTTTTCTACCAACTACTGCCCTTCTTTCTGTTCTCTTATCAAAGTACGGGGCGGAGGAGGAGGGGGGGGACTAGTTGGTGGTACTCTAATGAAAGGTCTCAACGAAAGGAATTAATTTCTACCAACCATAGCCCTCCTCCTCTACCTCTTATCGGGTGTATTCCCTTATACCTCAAGAACGGATTGTCGGAAGAGGGTATTCTCAAAGGGCGATTGAGACATCCGCAAGAGATATATCCATAATGAATGAATCAATATGATTTTCGTTTTGGACGAGGCAGTAAAAAATTGCCTTTTTTTTGCATGGCCACCTCGTTATTATGCAAATTACATATAACTTATTTAGGATTAGAATATAAAAACCAGCAAAACCAAGATATTTCATATAGGTATAGGACATTATTATCAAAAGGCTTTTGGATGAGCTAAAAGATATACATGCGTTCCATTTAAAAAAAAGTGAGATTTTTTAATCTGAAGTTTTGTAACTTGGGACCTACAAAACACCCTATAAGCTAATGTTTCATAGATAGTAGATAGTTTTTTGGGTATTAACCATATAATAAAAAAGTCGTACAATGACACGTAGAATTAAAATAAAATACGGGGGGTTCCATTAAAAAAAATGTACCATTTTGGTGCCCTACTTTGTGAGCGCACCCTGTATAAATACAAATATTTTTAAAATGTGGAGAATATTCAACCACATAATACAGAAGCACTGTATCGAAATATCTTATCTTGAAAGCATTAAGTTACTCCGTGCAATCGTTGACTCACCATCTGGTAAAATAGGAATTTTTTTGCATGCATATGTTATGATAATGTCTTCGACAGTGATAACACTTTATTCCTTCGTTGTTCGGCTTCATGTTTGTACACATATGAAACACAATCGCGCGATAATACTTAATAACATTGTTTTTAAATAAATGTTCAGTTGCTTCATTATTTTCATGTTCTGAAACATTCTTAACAGATTCGTTCTGTGCTTTCGCTGTAGAAGGATTTTCATTAGCTTCAAGATGTTGATCACGTGCGTGTTTACGTGTGTAACTGATAAAATGAGGTTAATCTTACCTTTCACAGTAATGTCTTGTGTAGAATGGCAAGGTCGTGTTTCACTGGGGATTTCGCAAACGGTCTTTCATCGCCATGGAATAGTTACTCCTTACAAAATTCCAAACGTGTAGTGTAGGATCTTTGTTTTTCTTTGAACTGCGGGAGTTGATATTTTGGATTTGTATTCTTATTTGCATTTATGGTTTCTCTAGCCTCTTCTTTTCCTCTTCCGTTCATTTTTTCTTGTTCTTTTTTTTTGTTTTTTAACCAATTTATCTTTATGCATCCGTTTCCACCCAGACGATGTCACTACAAAAGGCACTCCCTCAACAATTTTTTCACCTTTTCTTGCTGGTGGTAGTGGGAAATTTAAATAATTCAACAAATTTTCTTTTTCTGGACTGGTATCCGGCATATCCTGAAAAAAAATTTCTACGTTGATTTAATTTTGAAAAAAAATTCACTACTACAATAAGAACGTCTTGTGGGACCTGCTCAGAAATATCTTCTATAATTCAAACATGTTGATCAATGAGTAATGTGGAATTTTCGTTTGATTGTGATTGTACCTTTTGACAATCGTGCGTATTAGTGTCATCTGTTTGATATTGGTTGTCAATAAAAGCATTATCTGTAGGGGTCCCAATGGGCTTCGATTTGAGAGTTGGTACTTCATTGTAGTAAATAGAATTTTCGTACAGGCTGTTATCCATATTTAGGAAAAAGTACAGTTTCGACATGAAAATTTCAACGAATCGATACAAACTTTCTCCTGCTCAAATGTGGCAAGATTACGATGGAATCGTCCAAATTTAGTCCTGTGATTTTTTTCTGTGTGGGCACAGGTGCGTTGATCTCGTCAATCGAATGGTTAATTTACACAATTTACAAAAAACAAACTTCCCTAAGTTTCATTACAATCGCTGACTATGAGGTTCAAACTCGGGTTCAAAAGTGGTTGATCTGGCTTGAAATTCCCCAGTAAGTATCATGAATATGGAAAATCCTGGGTAGTCTGTGGGAATTTCCGGAAAGTCTGGAGATTCCCAGGAATTCTCAAGAAGTCTCTGGGAATTCCCAGGAAGTCTGGGAGACACACATTTTTCACAATATCTGGTTTTTCGGTTTCTTTTGCTGTCACAATAGTGACATCTTCCTCTATCAGGCAGTGGGGTTGTATCGGTGTCGTCTTGGTTTTCTTGTATGTCACAAATTTCTATAATGCGAAGCTTCATGGGCTGAGGGATCTGCTGCAATGTTGTAATAAAGGTTGCCCTTTATTAAAACATAATGCAATACAACCATTTATTGAAAAGTAATTACATCGCACACGTTATCCATCTACCGAACATTTAATAATATTCCCGTTACCCAACCTTCGGTTGCACTGAGAGAAAGAATTACTTGTAAGTACCCGTTTACGGTTACATTTATCCTAAGGTAACTTCGTATTCTGCCGAACTCACACGCGATTCTGAGTAATGTTTCTTAAGGACAAACAATTTCTTAGCGTTATATATCCGAATTATTAATGAAACTAAACAATTTCTTTTTTGTATGAAACTCTGCAATAGATAACAATTAATGCACCTTATTTATGGGCAAACGTTGAACTTGTAGTTGGTACGCATTTGAGATATAAAGAAATGTTTAGTACCTAAGTGAAAGCTTACTTGTTCTATATGTAACTCTACAATGGGTTAATAATAAATATACTTCGATTACAACTAAATGTAGAATTTTTAGTTGTAAGATGTTTGAAGTATTTGGAACTCTTTGATACCTTGTGTTAAGTGTAACTTATATTTAACACTACAAACATGATCTACCTCATTTATGATATATTGTTTTACATGAAATGTTGAGTCCGAGGGGGTAACCACTTACGGAAAATTTGTGACACGATTGCGAAAATAAGGGATTTCGATAGATTGCGGAAAGTTTCATGCGATTGCGGCGATTGCGGAGAGATTGCGGCGATTTCAAGAGCTTTGTAGCGATTTCTTGAGATTTCTATACCACATTTTTGCGATTTCTGAACATGTATACATGTCAAAAATAATGTTTTGATTTATGTAAGATTAAAAATTAAACAAAAACATTATCGTTAATAGCAACACAGTTTTGAAGAGATTATTTTCTTTTTTATTTGAAAAGAACAAGTTAACAATACATCACGCTTACAATTTACAGAAAGTCTTTTAATAGTTTTTGAGAGATTTTAAATTCCTTCTCAATCTGTATTTTTTGGTGCCGTTGTAAAATAAAAGGTTCATTGCCCAATAATGATATGGGGCCATAAAAATAGTACTTTGTGTACCAAGGCGGGAAAGTGGTTGTTTTCCGGGGCGAAGGAAGACATGGCCAGGCGAGGCGCAGCCGAGGCTGGCCACTTCCTGAGGCCCGGAAAACAACTTTCGTGCCGTGGTGCACACAATATTTTTTATCCTATACACATTTAAAATTAATCCCTTAACAACGTCCGACCGCAAGCGCTTGAATTTGGATTTGCTTTAACGCGTCAACGTGCACGCGTTTGTTTTGTTTATTTACACGTTTCCTGCTGACTACGCGAAAAAAAATTTACGAAACGGTGCAATCTAAGTGGGCCCACGAGTATATTTTTTACTCGTATATTTACCCCTTTCCCTTATAATACAGGTCAACGCAAATTCAAATTCTAGCGCGCTTGCGATTGCACAGTGCAGAGTCACCGAAGGGAGTCACGGTGCAACAGAGCAGATGTGCAAGTGGAGAATACTGATCATGTGCGAACTGAGTTGACATTTCCGGCATTTCACTGGCGCGTGATTATTTCCTTAGAAAATAACGGGATTTAAGGGGTTGTAATTAATACCAGGCGCATTTGAAATTATTACTGGTCTTGTGTATTAACAAATGTGTTTTAAAATTGAATGTGTGTTTTCAGAGACAAAATCACACCGGTTACATTTTAAATCCTTCGCAGTATCCATGTCTTGTCAAATGTTACATGCTTTTAACACTGGATTTATGCTTGGCGACGAAAGCGCAATGGGCACACTTTAAATCCTTGATGATCTTGTATTTTAAAAAAACGTGTTTTATAAATAGATTTATTCATTCCTTACAGTCACACTGGACACATTTTAACTTCGGGGTAGTCTCGTATCACGTATGTTAAAATGCTAGGTACTTATTACGGATAAGCGGTGTTCTACTTACAGTGCAAAGTGCATCTTGGTGTTAAATGTATTGACACAGATGCTCGTTATTGAAAGTAAATGGGAGATTATGACTAAGTTTGAAACGTTTGAATTGGTCTCGTGATATTGGGAAAGTATTCAAATTCACGAAACATTGTATTATAGGTTCGCGGTAATTAAATAAATCCTTGAATTCAGTAAAATAAAGTGAACATAGGGTAAATTTAATTATTAAATCAGTGTTGACGATTTTATGTTTCTTATTTAATTAAAAAGAAATAACTTCTTTGACATTTTATTACAACCGCGCCATCTAGCTTACATAAGGCGTATTTTTTTTCTCACCTAGCCGACAAAATTGAATTTTCTCGCTCCATGCGTGCAATTGTCTTCTTTCGCGTCCTCACACAGGCGAGAAAATATAAGTTTCTCCTTGTATAGGATAAAAATAAATTTATTTTCGACAATTTGTATATCTTCATCTTTGTCTTTCGGCTAAACATATGAATCTAAAACACATTTTAAAAATTTAATTTGACATGTATCATCGTTAAATATTTCTAGTACTCTGCCAATATACCATGATCTAAGATAACACACGGCGTAATAGTTTTCTGCGCTTATATCAATTTTTGTGTTTATTGGGGTTGTATCGTCGGTGGCATCTTCCTCGCCAAAGCTTTCATTTTCTAACTCACTCTTTTCTGAATATCTATCGCTTTCCTCGTCTGTCTCTGCTTCGCTAATAGCGATTCTCTTTTTCTTTCGTTTTGTTGAAGTACTCTTTGTTTGTTTTTTTTTATTTAAACTGCTAGATGCAGTGCTTCCACGAAATCGAAGCAAACGATCGCTAGAAAGACGGTTTGTCTTGATTGAAAATAACCAGCAAAGTGTTGACTTCTTTACTACCACCTCCTTTCCATTTACTTTAATCTTGAGCATATTACGAGGCAATGTTTGATTGCTTTTATTGTATTTGGCACTGAAATCTTGAATATTTAAATCACCAAGATCTTCAGGTTCCTCAAAGATACCTCTTTCTTCATCAATATCGTCTCTATCTTCAACATTCACGTCTACCTCACTCGTTTCTGAAAAATTATTATCTGCTTCAGAATAATCGGTAGGATGTACATTTTCCTGACTTGGCGGGATCTCTGGGATGCACACCCGTGTTAATGCCAAAGCTTTAATATTATCTGGTAGAATCATACCCAAATTGTAACAATCCTCAAAAACCTTTTCTTTTGCCTCTTCTATAGCAGCAAAGAGTTCTTCAGTTAAAGGTGTACTTTTTTCAGAATTTGGGAATTGATCTGTCCCTAGTCTTATGCTTCTTTCGCGTGGAAAAATAAATTTATCGTCTAAAATCACAACAAATAAATAAATAAGTTAATGTATAAAACTCGTGAAACTATTAAAAATATGCAAATGTTGTCATTAAATCAAAATAGACAATTCAAGACGGGACATAAAAACATTGTTTAATTAGTTAAATTCGTTCCGTACTATTGGCTAATTAGGTTTAAACTCAACAATGACTAATATAATAATAACAAGCATATATGTTTACAAACTGAGCTTACTTGTGTCACTTATAATGGAGTTGATCGTCTGAATTCGGTGTCGTCTTTGCAAAAGGTCCAACAAATCAAAGTTAATAACAGTTGAGTATGTAGACGCCCATTGATCGAGTTTGTCTAAAAAACTTTTCACATGGTTGGGTTGACTACTGTATAACCATGGGCAAATCAACTCCGGTGTTTGTCTATGGCGTTCGATTAGAATTAACAATCCATGTGCGTTTAACTCGACGCATGTGTAGATATTTAAAGTAATCCAATTTTTTGATAGTGATAGTTCCTTTTGCTCCATGATCCATGCACTCCAAAAACGTAAGAATAAATTTGCATACCATATAAGATAGACTCTTCGTTTCATACTGATGGATTTATTTAAAAATGAATCCAAAATGTATCTCGTAATTGAAAGTAATTGAGCAGTAGCTTTGTAATTTTCTTTTTTTGAGAGCAGAGTGATAACAGCGTTAGATGACATTTTATTTATAGCGTCGAAATTCATTTTATCGGCACCTAAAAAAATAAAAATGCACTGTATAAAAGTAAGTAAATTGGTTTTTTCACTACTAGCGTCTGATGACATGATGACGTGGGTCACACTGTAATTGGGCGCAAACCTGTTGACGGCCCAGAACAATAGAGGGAAAATTAATAAATAAATTAATTAATTAATTAAGACGTAAATAATAACATTACTGTAGAATTAGTTACTCTGTTCAACGAGTGTTGAATAGGTATACAAAAAATATGTCGCGTCACACTTAATTGATATATTATGATTGGTAAAAGGGGGAAATTGTAAGGCACTAAAAATGTCTAAGAATGTTAGAAGGGCGTCATGCTTGATTTCCATATATAAAATAAACCCTCTTTGTTTTCTAAGGAATACATGTTATGTATACCCTTGGCCACATTAATAAAATCCAATCACACGAAAGCTGTAGTCGAATAAAGATCGTCTTTACTTTACGTCTGTGTTTTATTGCAACTACCCCATTAACCCATTAATACCGGTCCGGAACTTCCGGACCAACTGTATCTTATAGACAATTTTATTCTAAACAAGTTCATTTCTATTCATTCTTTCCCTCCGAGCATTTCGAAGTCAAATGCGAATAAACACATTTTGTAATTTTTTCTTCGTTTTTTGTTAATAACAATATGTTCCGGCCAGGGGGGCTATGATTTTCGGATTCAGCGGATTTTTTCACATAGGATACGCTTGGTTTCGTTGAGTGAAGTGACAAAATCCAGCCCAAACCGTAATTTGACTGAACTAAAATAGAAATTCAAGGTCTAGTCACGAGAAAGGCATATGTCGGACCACTTAATTTTAATGGCTATGAAATTAATTAGTGACCTTTGAAATTGGTTACGTATAAAGCCTGCTTTCACTGTCCCCACCAATCGGCTATGCGTTCCCCCAACGTTGACTGTAAAAATAAAGAGAGGAGAGAAGTGAAAGAAGTTCAACCATCCATTGACATTGTTGCTCGAATACTTGAACGGTGCGCCGCGTTGGTGTTTCTGTTAGTTACAGTCACTAACAAACACAATTCAAATTCGTGCTTTGTTTTATTATAAAACACAAAACGTGAGTAACCTAATCTTTGCTTTCATCGGGGCAGATTGTAATCATCGTGCCGAGTTTCAAATTTACTTATTTAATTATCGAGGCGAGACGTTTGAAGGTCACTCACACTGCATTTCGCTTGTATAAACCGGTATGCAGCGTTCGAGGTCGAATACTTTTGTTCAAACTGGCTGGGAATTTTACAAATAAATGGAAGAGAAAGTGGGTAAGTTGCAATTAAAACGTTACCATTTATTCACGTTTTCTGTTTCTCTTCAAATTACTTTTTTTTATTTGCATTTTCTTCATAATTTATTATGGCAACTGCGGATGAGCATTACAAAAACGAGAAAAAGTGACACAAATTTGAAACCGATGGTTTCAAGCATTTATGTGTGTATAATATTTTTTGAATTGCAATTAATTAAAGCAGGACGCGTGTTATAGACGTGAATCGAATATTCCATGTTGTATATAGCGTTCGTTAGTCATTACAATAATGAGCCACACATTAGGGAAATTCTACTTGTCGTGACGTCATTATCCATGAGAAAATATCGGGCTATAAACAGCGTGCGTAGAAGTTGTTTATTATATAGTAATTTTGAAACGTTCCCGGTCAATTGTTTCTAAACTAAAACTACGCCGGTCTAGCGCCCTAATTGCTGCATTCATACGTAGACGTAATCGCGCATGTTTGGAATGTTTCGATCCAATCGTACGCGAATGAATGTGCATAATAATGAAGCCTATAGGTAACAAATATACAGTGCCTATAGGGTCTATTAGTGGTTACGTCATAATAGCCCGCGAAATTCGAATTGCAGGTCTTGGCTGTTTTACTGTGGGAAATATTGACCCCTATCGTCCTATCCATTAAGGGTCGCTTTTAAATAGGTATTCTTTATGGGCTTATACTGACCTTATGCGAATTAAATAAGCACATCGGCCCCCATATATTGAAACACTGATTACTTACATTTAAAACAGATCAATAAGCGTTAAATAAAATCCATTAATTGCGTTATATTTAAAAATTAAAGATATGTCTACCATCTTTACACTTTACGGTTAGCAATATGGAATAATCATGACCTCTATGACCTTGTTCTTGGGTTACATTTTACCACTGCACTTACTAGACCGAGTCTACTTGCCTTTAAAGTGTGTTTTTTTAATTTGTTTTAAGTAGTTTTCAATAGTCCTAGGTGTTTTTTTATTATATATTTACATTCGAAAATGTAAACATAAATACGGAATAAGATAGGTTTAGTTTAGGCACAGATAAAATACCCAACAGATTGCTAACCACAATACATTTTATGGGTAACATAAATATACTTAAAATATACTTAAGTTAAAGATCCTGGTATACTTAAACGCGCCATCTACTGAGTATTGGTATGAACATCCATTTTACGAATCTTTATGGTGGTCATGAAAAGAAGGAGTTACAAGCGTTTTTCTGTAGATGTCACTTTAAAAAAACTCACCCCGCGAAACCGTGTCTTTTAGTCTATAAAACTATAATTTATAGGTGTTTGCGTTTGTGATTGCATTGTGTGTGATTTATGTTAAAGTGACTTGTTCTTATTATTTTGCATTGACGTATAGGTACTTACATTAATTTGTTGTAGTGTCAAAGCTATTATAATTTTGAGGGAAGTACTTAACTAAACTATCAAATTTATGTAAAGATTTAGATTTCAGTTTAAATTTTGTGGCGACCATTATTAATAATTGTAAGCTGTGCCATTATCAAAGATGGTTGCTATAGATTTTAACCTGTATTTAAGTCTTAAATTTAAAATTTGTGTCAATTTGACGGCTGGCGCAATCGGCCATTTATAGTTCATATTAAGGGAGCGTATGGAGGCGAGCACGTGCACACATTTAATCTGTGTAATCGGATCGCAAATTTTCTTGATAACCGTGCAAAGATACGCAGTAAATAGATAAACCACATCAGAAGCCAGATTTTTATCTGTGACAGAAGTAAATAATTTTGTTGGGCTTGCATTTATTGCCTATTCGAAAACCGTCGAAAATGAATACTTACGATCAAAAAGTTTGTCCCGCTTTTCTTGTGAATTTCTTTTATACGTGAGATAGTAGTCGGTTTTGCAAAAACATTATCTTAAACTTAATGAAAATACCACAAATGCCGCGAATCTATTGGGATGATATGAATTGTTTTTTCTTTCATGTGTAGATACAAATAAAAGTATAGTATCACAATAATATAATACAATAATATAAATTTGATTAATTAACATTCATATTTATTTTTACAATTCGAAAGAAGAAACGGAACCAAGCGTATCGCGTTTTTCTTTCGATTTAGGGGAACAAAGTCAGATCATTCGACCTTCCAGCACATTACTGAAATTTTAAATTAGAGTTGCAGGTTGCACGTAACACATGATTCGAATTTTTTTTACGAATCGGGATCGACTTTTGGAGTCGTAAGTAATTTTCTGTTAAATACGCTACTGATTTAATAACAAAACTTTTCAGATTTTTAAACATTTTCGTCGGTTTACCAATTTATTTATTTAGTTTGTCACCTTGTTTGGCAATTATGCACTTTTGGAGTCGTAAGTAATTTTCTTTTAAATACGCCACCGATTTAATAACAAAACTTTTCAGATTTTTAAACATATTCGTCGGTTTACCAATTTATTTATTTAGTTTGTCACCTTGTTTGGCAATTATGCACTTTTGGAGTCGTAAGTAATTTTCTTTTAAATACGCCACCGATTTAATAACAAAACTTTTCAGATTTTTAAACATTTTCGTCGGTTTACCAATTTATTTATTTACTTTGTATCCTTGTTTGGCAATTATGGAGTTTTGGAGTCGTAAGTAATTTTCTGTTAAATACGCTACCGATTTAATAATAAAACTTTTCAGATTTTTAAACATTTTCGTCGCAATTTATTTATTTAGTTTGTCACCTTGTTTGGCAATTATGCACTTTTGGAGTCGTAAGTAATTTTCTGTTAAATACGCTACCGATTTAATAACAAAACTTTTCAGATTTTTAAACATTTTCGTCGGTTTACCAATTTATTTATTTTCTTTGTCTCCTTGTTTGGCAATTTATTTATTTAGTGCCTTTATGAAGTGTTGGATAACAGGAACATGCAGAAGTGAGAAAATCGTGTAATTTTATACAATACCATTTTTCGCGATGCGCTCGACGTTAAATGCAGCTAAGGTGAATTTTCCATTTAGAGCCGGCTGCTTTGCTTTAAATAAGTCAACAGATCAATTGAACAATTTTTCTGTGATAAGTCTAGAATTTAAATTGGTGTTGATAGCACAGGTGTTCGCGGAGTGCGGCGCGGTTGTTGGATGGAGCTCGCAGATTACGGCAATATTGCCCAAGTTGAAACATGATTCGGCAATTGCGTTAGACGGAAGATAATTCCACTGGTCGACATTATTTACGTTATTTTAATAAAGAAAATCTGTTATAGTTGGAATATGTAATTATTGTTTGTTGCTTTTTTTTAAATTTTTTGGGAGGGTTATGCAGCATTTATGGACCATCCAATTTAATATATTTTTAATGATAAATTATTTTGAAGACCTTAAAAAATTAACTTTGGGTATGCCTTGTAAACAAAAAAACAAACGAGGCGGTGTTTCGTTTCGCTCAATCAGAGAGCCCTGTTCATGAATCATTGGAATTTAGTACGTACATACCATATTTTGTGTAGTGTTGACTACAGATACCGATACTGAAATTTCAGTGTGAGTCCTCTTGTGGCAAAAAGCGGTATCATGTTTCATAAAAATCTTTAATAAAAAATTATATTTTTCACTGGAAATTGGGGACCTATAGGCAACCCGTAGTTCGCATTTGCATTATGGTTGTATTTAGTAACACTGCATTTGGTTGGCAATCTGTTGGGTATTTTATCTGTGGTTTAGGTTATGATCATTCCTTACTGCCGACCGTAAATTGTAAATATGGTAGATATTTTTAATCATAACGCAATTAATGGATTTTTTTCACTACTAGCGTCTGATGACATGATTATTAACCTTTTTTCCACTTGTAAAGTAGGCTTTCTCGGCATTTGTTCAAAGTGGTTAATAATTTTTTATTATTAACTAGTAGTCAATAATGAGAACTGTCACGCTGTCACTTTTAGAAAACACAACCCGAAATTTCGCTCAATGAACGTTTAGACAAGTTCTCTAAAACGAATAATTGCCACCATTCGCAATTTCCAGAGAAATTACATACCTAAAATTATCACATTTTGAAAAAATTCGAACGAAATTAGTCTTTGAAAAATCTCAATGACAGAACAAAATACGGCCTGTTTGACTTGTACTTCCACGTACTTGATTGACATGTTAAATTAAGAAACAAACAATTCTGTCCAACCGTTAACTCTCTTATCAATATAATATGTTAATTTAGAGGATTTCAAGTGCTAGTAGTGAAAAAAATAGTATATATACCACGGTAGAGAAGTCTATTATTGCCTTCGCACCTTACACCCCTCGGCGCAAGCGCCTCGAGATGTAATCTTGGTGCTCAGGCAATAATACTGTACTTCTCTACCTTGATATATAATGTACTATTATTTTGCGATTGTTGCTGTCTTAAAGTTAAATGATCAGTGTTTCGATATAAGAGGGCCGTTATGCTTATTTAATGCGCATAAGGTCAGTATAATCCCGTAAAGAGCACCTATTTAAAAGTGATACTTAATGTATGGGGCGATAAGGATCAATATCTTCGACAGTAAAACTGCCAAGTCCTGCAATTCGAATTTCCCGCTCAAATTTGACGTCACAGTGATTGAGTCTATTGACACGCCCGTGCAGTTTGCGTTGCGCCCCATTCGCGCAGGTTTAGCTCTCGTGAAACTTTTTTAGTTGCAAAGTTCTGCACGTCGCGTTTTGTATTGTTTGATAAAAAATTGCTGATATGGTGAATTGGCCTGTTTTCGGTCATTTAAAGCCGGGTACACACCAGGTTCAACGCAACTTAGACCAGGGAACAAAAGAGGACACGTAACGTAGGTGTTACCGATTGGTACCGCAGCTGTTCATATAGTGGCTATCGCAGATGTAAGAGCTATCAGCTAGGATAGTAGGAAGCGGTAGTTAAATGAACGTATGGAGTTGTTTGGCATGTTTTGCTAGGTATTTACAATAAATAATTAATACAGGGTGTTCCTTAAAGACAAGCTAATATTTAAT